TCAATATTAGACGAATTGTCAAGTGGGGAATCTAGAAAAGAGCCATTACAATCAAAAGAAATAAGAAACCTCCAAGATGTTGGAAAGAGATTAACCGATGAAGATAAAGCCAAATTATTACAGGAATTAGAAACAGCCGAGAGTGTTGAAGATATAGAGCGAATAGAACGGGCATTGCATAATGGATATATTTAAAATATTACCATTTAAGTAACATAATTCAGCAATGCTATAAGAAATTGTACTATAATTTACCAGTGTATAAACAAACTATTTATTTATATGTATATAAGGTTACATTTTTCTGTTATATTGTATAATTAATTGGTTCATTGTTTTAAAAACGTTATTCGTCAGATGAAATCGAAGTGAGCGCTATGGTTTTCCATGTTACCAGATTTCATGTTCAAATAATTTAATTTTATTAAAAGTCTCTTTCTAAATTTGAAGTTTAGAATTAGTCTAATTTGGTCATAACTGTCATCGGATTTGTATCTAGTCTGGCCTCTACTTCAATTTTCTTGGTTGAGGCTTTTTTTTAACTTTTTCTACAATTTTTCATATTGAAGACTTCTCTTAATTAATGAATATTGGCTATGTCCCTGACAAGACCGAAGCGTAAGGCCACTATTAATAAGTCTTATAATGACGCTATAGATGAGACTATTTTTGACGATAATTCGTCTAATAATTCGAATAACTTGAACAATTCCAAGAAGAAATCTTTGAAAAGGTCAAATACTCCTGAAACAGGTCTCAAGAACGGTACCTCAAGCGTTATAAACCCAAAAGCAATTCCATATAATTGGCAACCGCCACCCAGTCCGGTTGACTATTTTTCTTACAAATTGGACTTAGAAGATGCATATGTTGATATAGAGAATCAAATATTATTTTGTCCGAATCAACCTCCGATTCCAAGCTCATACGAACAAGTAAGAAAACGAAAATTAAAAGAGCCATTCAAGTTGACTAAAGGAGATTACATATACATGATCAGTGAACCACCAGGTGAACCGTATTATATTGGTCGTATTATGGGCTTCACGTCGAAAAATAATCGACATATTCACCATCATGAGAGTGAACAGAATTCTGCTGGTAGTTCTACAAACAGCCTGGAACTTGACATACAGGATAACAATAAACTTCATCATGAAAATGCTTCTAGTTACTTATTTCAAATCCAATGGTTCTATAGACCTAGGGATATTTCAAAATCTACCTCCGACTCAAGACTATTGTACGCATCTATGCACACAGATACCTGTCCTTTACAGAGCTTTAGAGGCTTGGTAACTGTTAAACATAAACAAGATGTTGAATATGAATTCAATAGTATTACCAATGACATTTCCGAAAACAACGGTAAATCATCATCACCAGCATCATTAAACAGTTTAGAAATGTATTCTCAGCAACCGAATTGCTTTTATTTTGATAAACTTTTTGACAGATACATGATCAGATTTTACGATATACTACTGACTGCAAGCTTGCTAAGAACTATTAATAATGATGACAATAAAAGCAAGAATTTTCTTACAGCATTGAATAAGAGATTTGAGTTTATATTTGTCGAAAGCAATAGAACTAAATCTTTTGTGAATGGGTTCTCTTCTGACTCTTGTAATTGTGAGATATGTGGACAATGGTGTTCTGGACAGGACTCTGTGACATGTGCTGGTTGTGAGAAACATTATCATATGTTCTGTCTTGATCCTCCTTTATTACGAAAACCAAGTAGGGGGTTTTCATGGTCGTGTGCTCCTTGTACAAAACAACATGATCTTGAGCACCAAAGCAAGAAGATGTTCATGCTTTCTCATGATAACAAACTGTCTAATGAGAAGGAGCTTTCCAACGAAATCAATGGATTAGATTCACCAACATCTCCACACCATGACCTGTCTGGCGACGCAGATGACGAAGAGATTAAACCAACAACGAACTCAATCCTACCAAAATATGAATTAATGGCAATAGAATTTTTAAAGAATGATTCGCATTTAACTTTTGAACAAAGAAGACTAAAGGAAGAATGGTGTATGCGCTACTTAGGAATGTACTCTAGATTAGAAGATGGGGTCGATCTTGATGACAGATCTCCTTATCCTAGAGCATCCACAAGGTTGGGAGCAAAGCATCAAGCAACGAATATTCCTGAGGTATATGATCACCCAATCGTATATTATGATTTAGATAAGCAATCAAATTCCAATGGCACAGTAAGAAAAAAATCTTCTGTAAAAAAGAATGGAAGTAAAACAAAAAAACACGATGCTTCAGATACAGTTAAGCTACCTGTTCCAGATCAATTTAAAGATATTTCTCCAAAAGAATACCCTCAATGGCTACAACCAAGACCAAAGGGATATATAGAACGTGGTGTGGATGATGGTGAAGGTGTTACTTGTTCTTTAATGTGGAAACCACTAGATGAAGACTATCAAGACAATTTTCAAAGGTTAGATGCCTTTGTTGAACAATGTTCACCAATAGCGGAAAAGTTGAATATATTAGCAACATCACCAAATTTTGTCGATGCAATTCTTAAAGCTTACTTCGACAATAATGGAAATACTGATAAAGCACATGACGAGGTATCTAACTTAACCAGAAAATCTTTAAGGGAGCCTACCCTTTCAAAAGAAGAAATTAAGAGATTTGAAGCTGGTGTAAAAAAATATGGTAGTGAACTATATCCAGTTTATAAAGAAGTTAAAACTAAACCATTGTCTATGATTGTGAGATTTTATTACCTTTGGAAAAAATCCGAGAATGGTAGATTAATTTGGGGTAATTTTGAAGGAAGAATGCATAAGAAATTACAGAGCATTGTTAAAGAAGAGCATTCATCGAAGGCTAATTCTATGAATCATCCTCCAACCATTGATTTCTTAGCTGATCACAATGATGATTCAGCGTATGAAGTAGAAAAAATTGTTAGCAATAACTCTAATTTTGCATGTAAGCATTGTCGGACTCACCAGTCTCTTCAATGGTTCAGAATAACCGGTTATGATGCTAACACAAAATTTGAAAAAGGTACGCACGAAGATCTTGATAAAGATGCAGTAATAGGTTTATGTTTCAGATGTGCAAGATTATGGAGAAGATATGCGGTTGTGTGGGAAGATCCAACTGAAGTTGAGAAAAAGAACAATAAGCCGGTAGGTGGATGGAAGAAGAAAGTTGAATTTGAACTAGTACGGGATTCTCAAATGATCTTAGAAGAGTCGGAAGCCCTTGGTGGTGGATTATCGTATGACAATAAGAAGCCTCCTTCATGTATCATTAATGGAACTGCCTCGAAGTCAAGAAAGCTGATACCAAAAAAGGCTAATTCTAATATAGGTGACATTACAAACAATTCTACTGTAAAACTGAAAGGTTCAAGTAAGGAAGAAAATCCTACTAAGAAGCGAAAGGTTGGTTCTACGCCTAGTAAACCTACTACAACTAATATTCCTAATACAAAGAAACCAAATTCTAATAAATCTAAGGCTGTGGCCAAATCGACTAAGGCAACCAGCGTTAAAACAACTAAGGTAAAGAAAGATACTTCTTCCCAAAAAGTTACGCAAAGCACTACCAAGGTTAAACCAGATAAGAAAGAATTGATTAAGGACTCGGATCAGGAAAAGCCTGAATCTGCCACTACGAATGCACTGAAATCCAAACGTAAGAGAAGTCAATCTTCGCTCATGGAAGACTCAAAACTGGAGAAGAAGCCTTCCACTACAGTGAAAAAGGAGCCTATGCCAGGAGTTATAAATTCAAGCTCTACACTTCCCAACAAAAGACAAAAGAAATATGTTGACCCTTCTCTATCGAATCGTATTATTAACCCAATATTGAACAGTAATTATATTGCATCTTTGCCAATCAAGAGAATAAAGTTGGATAAGAAGTCAACACCTTTGATGACGAATGAAATATTAAGCAACGTTATTAAATCATTCAAAAGTAAGCAGCTTACTGATCTTGGCACACAGTTACAAGCTTATCCAATACCTAATAATGCTGTGGTAGAGCTTCCATTCCTGCCATTAGATAGAAAATGTTGTGTTTGTGATGAGGAAGACAAAAATGAAGCTTCTGCACCAGAAATGCTTATTTGTTCGAATTGCGGTGTGAATGCACATATTTCTTGTACGGGTCTTTCAATTCCTGATCAAATACCAAGGCCTATAAAGCAATGGTTATGTGAACCATGTATCAACGATTTAAACCCCCATTATTCTACTTTATATTCCTGTTGTTTATGTCTAGCCAATGAATCAAACTATGAGCTATCCATATTGGGACATCCTTCGGTTAGACCAGATTACTTAAAACCAATATATGGTTCAGGAAAGTGGTGTCACTTGGTTTGTGCATTGTTTAATTCTGATTTGGTCAATTTCAGATCGATCTCGTCTACTGCTTTCAATCTGAAAAGGTTATATAAGGAAGAAGTGATAGACCAGTATTCAATCATTGAATCCATTCATAATTTTACTGCTATTGAAAACGTCTCAGAGATCTACTTGCAAAATTATACGTCGAAGTGTGGTATATGCTATACAACTAATGGTTCGTTAATTGCTTGTGATACCTGTAAGCTAGCTAATGAAGATTCCATGAAATACCATATCACCTGTGCTCAAGATACCCCAAATTTCAAATTAGGTTTTAAGTTATGCTCTCAAAGACTTAACGACAAAGATAATAAGCTTGTGAAGATCGACGAAGAATACGGTAAATTGCAACCTACATTACTCTGTCCAATTCATGCTACTTCCTCGAAGATTTATAGTATGAGAGCTTTGGGTAAAAGAGTATATGGTATTAGTAGAGATGAGCTTAAACCTATTATCCAAATCTACTTGGAAGACCTAGTCAAGAGTAACAACGCAAGTAACAAGTTAACTGGGCCTCAATTAAAGTCCAATACTTATATAAAAATGATAAAGGCTTACGAAGAACAAGAAAAAAATCATAAGCTGAAAAATAATTATTTGAAGTTGCTAAATCTGTCGAATATTATAAGCGTGAAGAAGTCTAGTGACGTAAAATCGTGTGGAAGATGTAAAACTACAGCATCTCCTATGTGGTGGATAGAAAAAAGTAATAATAACAATAGCAATTTCAATGAAGTTTCTGGTTCTGCAAACCAAAACTTCCTTTGTCAAACTTGCTATCATGTAAGAGATGAAGATAAAGAATTAACTCCAGAACCTGAAAGTCAACATTTATTTGATCTGCTTAATGAGCCATTGGATGGAGAAATTTATGGTTTACAAAACAACGATGATAATTTATCGGATATCTATACAAAAGAGACGAGCAACAAAATGGAAACTATTGCCTCTTCTGAAAATACAAGATCAAGAATAACAATAGGCGACATCTTAAGCTGAAACTTTTTTACCGTAAATTGGTTTCAATTTTCTAGAAATTAGATTCTTCTTACATTTAATTCACTCACTATATAGTGGTTAGTCATATATATATCATTTGCATCTAATCTTAAGTTAACGAAACTAAACGTAGTTTGAAATGTCGCAAGTAAATGTTATAAAAATGTCGTATGTATATGTTTTTCAGAAAAGTTCATTTCATTACTGGCAACCTAATACACTTTAGAGTATAATCTTCAAGATGATTCAATTGGAAGAACGAGATATGCCTGTAATACCAGGTACAATTCTTGATAGGAACGAAACACAGGAATTAAGATTAATGGTGGCTGATTTATTAGGTAGAAGAAATCCATCATTTCCTGGATCTCAGCCAATATCATTTGAAAGGCACCATTTGACAGATACATTGATGAATAAAGAATACTATGTATGTGAGAAATCTGACGGATTACGTTGCTTGCTATTTATAATAAACCATCCCGAAAGAGGCGAAGGTGTCTTCTTAATAACTAGAGAAAACGATTATTACTACATTCCTAACATACACTTTCCTTTAACAAACAACGAGGAAAAAGGTAAAACATACCACCATGGTACTTTATTAGATGGAGAATTGGTTCTTGAAACAAAAAATGTATCGGAGCCTGTATTAAGATATTGTATATTTGATGCGTTAGCTATTAATGGGAAAGATATAACTAAGAGGCCCTTACCTAAGAGGCTTGGTTATATTACAGAGCAAGTGATGAAACCATTCGACAATTTTAAACGTAAGAATCCTGAAATTGTGAATTCCCCTGAATTTCCTTTTAAAGTTAGCTTTAAATTAATGACATCCTCGTATCACGCTGATGATGTCTTATCTAAAAAGGATCAATTATTCCACGAGTCAGACGGTTTAATTTTTACTTGTGCGGAGACACCATATGTATTTGGTACTGATAGTACATTATTAAAGTGGAAGCCAGCTCATGAAAATACAATTGATTACAAAATGGAAATGATCTTTAGTAAGTTTCAAGACCCTGATTTAGATCCAAGGGATCCAGACTCTACGTACACAGACTATGATTCTAAGCCTGAATTGATAAAGTTAAGGGTTTGGAAAGGTGGTGCAGACTATGAGGACTTTACAAAATTATCCTTAGAAGATGAAGATTGGGAGAAGTTGAAGAATTTGGGTCAACCTTTACAAGGAAGAATAGTTGAATGTCGTAAGAAGCTTTCAGAGCCAGGTTTTTGGGAAATGTTACGCTTTAGGAACGACAAGAGTAATGGTAATCATATTTCCGTTGTTGATAAAATTTTACATAGTATTCAAGATGGGGTGAGCGAAGAAGAATTAATTGAGGCATGTCCTAAAATTGGCAAAGCATGGAAGAAAAGGATTTATGAAAAGTCTCAAGGTAACAGATCCCTGTATAGCGATACTGGAAGGCCACATCCCGAATCTAATAGAGAAGATGAACCTGCATCGAAAAGAACTAAAATTGATATGGAAGAGCCTGAGTCTAACGGCTTTGATAATATTAATGAGGATTCAAGGAGTCAAGATAATGCATCTAAACAAAACTCAGGAGAATTTCAGGATATCCCAACTTATGAAGATAGTGACGAAGAATGAACTGAAGAAATAAATAATGTACTATAGAAATTTGCTGAAATGACAGTTTGTAACATTAACAAGATTCAAATACTAAATAAAAATGTATCGATAGAAATTTTAAAGAGCTGTTTCCTCGTAAGCTGGAGGAACTATATCAAATTTATTAGCAGATATTAAATCCAAGACAATATTGTCGTTCCTTTGCTGCATATCAGAATAGCAAGGAGGTGATTCGGATGCAATTTCTGAATCATGACTCAACAACTTTATAGGTGCTGTAAATGAAAGCTCAATTTTTTTAAATCTTGTAGCATCCGTCCTTTTCTCATGATAGTTTGAGTAGCCAGGAAATGTAACGGATTCTAATGCCTCTATAGATTTCTCGCTTGCAGATGACACAGTGCTATTTGTTCGAGACACCTCATAATTCTGTTTATTTTTGATCTGATTGTACCTTTCACACTCGCTTACTTCTACTGTGACCTTCAATGTATGCGAGCTTATAAACCCTTTATTGGCATTATTTATACTAGGATAAATAGTTTTTTTCAATTTTTGATTTGATTTATCATATATCGTCCCGTTTGAGGGAATCTTTAGACAAATCTCAAAGTTATAGGAGCCATTCTTCGTTACTAAGGACTGAAAATTGAACATTCTCTTATACAACAAAATCTTGTCAGTTTCAGTATATTTCTTTTTGTAGTTTGAGCAAACGTATTTATCAAACGTTAAAGTCTGCACAATCCAAATGGATACACCGTGTAAAGTGAAATATTGGCACTCTGGCTCGATTGGATAAATTCTAAATATAGACAAGAAAGGAGAACCTTGAAATGCTATTTTATTTTGAAAGCTGAACTCATAAACTAGTAGGTCCCTCCAATTCCCTGTAGCCATTATGGAATCATTAAATAAGGTTTCTGGAACACATCTCACTAACTTAACATCTTGAGATTTTCGAGACATTTTGACTCCATTACAGTTGCTTGTTTCATACTTCAAGCAGGTTTCTATTACATAATTGATATTCAAATGACGACTATCAAAAGTCTCTGGTAATAATGTATCAATTATAAAATGAAATGGGAATGTATAGGTGCCGATCTGTATATCTTTTGCATATTGGTAATCCCAGGTAAATATTTCATCCACAAGTGGTTTCGTGATTTTCTTCCTCTTGGCGAATAAGGGCTCCAGAATATCTATAGCTTCGAATTCAATAATTGTTTCACTCAATTCTCCGTGGAATATGACAGATATATCACTAATCTTTGTTGGTCTTAGGATCTGTAATACTACAATGCCTCTTAAAATCGGGGGAGTCGTTAATTTGAAGTCTTCCTCGCATAGTCCTCTTTGATATATGGTCGGGTTAAGAACCTGTAAGTGAAGCTTGAAGTTACTACAACTAATATCATTGTATAATTCATTTAATTTGGTGACCGTAGAACTTATTGATTTCCAATTTCTCATTGTAAGTCTTTGCAGCGGCTAATAACTATGAGTGATACAATGACTAGAATTTAATACCTGATAATGTGTATTGATTAATGGCTTGAGCTCCTCTGTTATAGACACTGTAATACGTCCTAAGTGGTAATTAGACGGTAATTTGTTTATGTATCAAAAATTCCTTTTTCATAAAAGGTTGCAACAACTCGGTTAAATATTTTGGCCAGGACCGTAAAAATTCCTTTTTCCTAGAAGTTAGCTTCCCGTTACCTTTTTATTGGGAAAACATAATATTTAAACATGATTTTCGGGCATCTTTACTGCTTTTGTTCTGATATCCCTGGTTTCCAAGACTAGGTCCGATATATGCTCGACAATGCAGTTTTTTTAACCGACTTGGTGGTGTTTCAAACTTGATTCGAAGATCTCTTACTAAAATATTACAATTACTATGTAAGGTACACGTTTATAATCAGTTTCAAGGTCTATTATCAATATCCAATGCATTCCCAATGTTTAGTCTGAGCTTGATATTCTGAATGCCCCACTTCTTTACGATACAACACATTCTATGACATTATTTATTAATAGATATTATACAAGATACTAACGTTCAAGATTAATATTATTGCCAAACTTGGCATATAGCTGTTTCTTATAGCTTTCCAACTGGTCGTCGATCTCTTCGACCAACGATTCGATGTTGCTGATCTTCTCCGTCAACACTTCATTGTCGACCTCAATTCTTTCAATCACCTTATTAACTTTCATGAATATGAAAACTTCACCAACTTTATACTGAATCTTCTCGTCTTCGTCCAACAATTCAATTTCTAACGATAAATCATCGAGATATTCCTTTTCCTCTTTGAGTTTCTTCAAGACTTCCAAATTCTCATCTTTTTTATTTATCAAAGTGGAGAATTTGTTGATTTTCTGTTGGTCATCCCAGGACACCTCAGTGGCTGTATTCCTTTGTCCGTCCGGTAATAATTCCATTATATATCCGTCTATACCACAATCATTCGTTACACCTACACTGTTGAAGTCGGATGGAAAAATATAGACTCGGTCGTGTGATGGCAACTTTTCATCTACTATACTTCAAACCCTCCAACCACTGTTGCAGCCATTATAGTCGATCACCCATAGTTCAGACTTTCATGATATTTGCTTATATTGCGGGGATATACTTTGTACCATACCATTAAAAGAATATGTGATTGTCAAAAGTTCATGATTACTATCTGCTACAGGTACAATTTGGTATAGTATGACTCTCACAAATTGTGGTATTCCCCCCTTCAGAGCTACGAAACACTTAACTAGACTATGGTGAAACAAAATTCATTATATCGGCGCCGATGAGGATCAAAGCCATTTACTCTAGGGCATCATCGTTTACCCCAGAAACAAACTTTTTGGAATCCACAAAGTGCAACTCGCGGAGTATAGCCGTAAGCAAAAAAAAAAAATCCTCTAACATCAACAGATGCCGACACGAGCCTGTTATAAATAGAAGAGCGTTTCCTTATACGATTATATATAGATAAGTTATAGAGTATACGTCCTATTATCGAGATAATAAAATGACGTTTATTACGGGAGACGACTATAGATTAGTTAATGTTACAGACCAAGACAAGGTTAATTTCACTCGACTTCAAAACTCTCAATCTTGGAAGGGCCAATTATCGACAGATAATTATATTGAAAGGGAATATGTGTTAGGAAAGTCAAAGATTGCCCTGTCAGATAAGAATAGGTTGCTTGTGTTTATGCTCCAAGATATTAAGAACCCAGAAGACAAGTTATGCTCTGTTGAATTGCTTATTAGACAATCGTGGAAGTTCACCTGGGACAAGGATACAGACAAGGTTGTTAAGAAAAACATATTATCGGCATGTATAGGTGGTGTTTTCACATATTCTGAACATAGAGGTAAGGGATTGGCCAAGATTATGATTGATAAAGTCGTTGAGTTGAGTAAGAGTCAGTATGTGGGGGCCGATGGATTTACGTTCTTATACTCTGAGGTTGGAGAATATTACGCCAGAAATGGATTCAGGTCTTTTGGAGTTCCGTTGTTGAATTTTCCTTTGTCTCAGACTGGTGAAGACTACGACGCCATAGTCAAGCAAGATGAAGATGATATTCAGTTGATCAAGTATCACGATTTTCAAGGATTAATGGAGATTTATAATAAGCAATTTGAAACAGAGATGTTAAATAAAACTAAAAAAGATCATAAGACCAGAGTTAGCATTGATCCTAGTCTGGACTTCATTGATTGGTTCCATTTAAGAGCTAAGTTTATCAGTCACAAATTATTTCACCGTCACTTGGACATTGATAGCTCTTTACCATACGATGAGTTAATTAAGAAATTTCAAACAATAGACCCCACCAATTTCGGAATACAAATTAAGACCAAACTGGGCCAGTTGATTGGTTTCATCTCTTGGACTTACGATTGGAACCTTACCAAAACTAATACGTATGAAAATTATGTAACTGTTTTGAAGATTGTCACTATGCCTCAATTTGATAATTTGAAATATTCGATCAAATTAATCAAATTAATGAAGACGTATCTTGAACACATGAATGCTGCAAATGATGAAGTTCATGGAAATTTCGTTAAAACTATAATTTGGGAGTCTGAGATATCTAATGAAGTTAAAGATTTTTTACTTACAGAATATAAAGGTACCGATGGAATTGAAAATGGTTCCAGAAGTGCTATTTTAATCAATAATGATAAAGAAGACAAATTACTTGGGACTGGTGATTTAATTTGGGAGAATAATACCAAATTACCTTGGTTCTAGGTTGTCTATTCCTTATAAATTGTCCTGGAGCAATTGTATACTTTTCCACGGATATACATAATTACTAGATAATAGCTACTGTATATATAGTTACTAAATATAATTATGAATCCCATATATGATTGTAATGATACATAGCTTGTAACCATATGGATTCAAGCATATTATAATTAGTTAAGTAATGGCTTGAGTTTGCCGGCGCCTTGTAAAGCTTGAAGATCCGAATTGCCACCAATATGTTTCTTGTTGATAAAAACATTTGGAACAGTGTTTTGTCCCGTCATTTCACGCAAAGCGTCTTGTATTTCTCTGCCATTATTCGAAGTGTTCAACTCGACTACTTTAAAGTCAGGCGTTAAGGACTTTATTAAATTTTTGGTTGAATCACAGTATGGACAATATGTCTTCAGAAAAATTAAAATTTTGTTACTGTCAATTAGGCTTTGAATTTCAGCTTTCGTTGCTGCCGATACTGGAGGTGAAACGAACCACGATTTGATATATTCAAGCATTATGTCTATGTTTATTTCTATGTCTATTTATTCGTAATTATCGATATATTTTAATCTCATTTCCATAACTGAGTTGAAAATTGAGGAATCGTTTTTATGTAATCTCAAAACTATATCATTTGCATCCCAATCTTTTAATTCGTACTCTTTGATTTTATCTTTAACATCACATAATTCATGATAATACTTCTGGTGTTTAGCGATCAATTCATCATCCAATTTAGGGATCTTGGAATTTTGCAATAAAAATTCACCACCAGTATTTTCAAAGATATTGAATACAAGTGAAATTAAAGCTAATAAACTTTTAATTTGAGTTGAATGCTCCTGAGTAAGTTCGTTCAAATTAATAGGATCAGTACATAAACTCTTCTTTGTAGATCTTAGGTGATACCTGATAGGATCATTTTCAATATCATTACATATATGGAATATCCAATCCAAATCGAAGAGTGGCCCAGTTGGATAAGGAATTAATTTAGAATACTTATAGTCGCCCAAGATATCAATAGCTTTGCGAATTAATGAGTATTGTGATGTTCCTGAAGGGTATCTGTCGTAGACGCCGTCTTTCAAATCAGTTGGTGGATCTGGAAATTTGGCGAAGTTTGATCTAAGCTCGTCAGAAATGTTTACGTTGGGAATGTCTAGCCTGTACAAGATCCCCTTAATGTTACCCCAGTGGACGAAACTTTTAAGGGCAATAAGAACATCTGGGTTATTTAGTGCCTCTGGCCCGAAATGTTGGTTAACATAGTGTTTAATGTAATGACTATCCAATTTGATTCCAATGTGATGATCGGTGTGCAAGAAATTTAATTTTGAGCACACCATTATGTCAAGTCCTTTACGAACATGATCATCGGTGACACCTTTGAAGTATACAAGGGCCTCATCCTTACTCACTAAGGGGTCAAATTTCGAATTTTTATAGTTCACCACCGAGCTATTCTCCTCTTCGTACCATTTATTGGTCTCTAGTTGGTTGGCCACACCAATGATTGAGAGACATAATTCAGGGAATTCTTCGAGAATTGCACCTCCATTGATACTCTTTAGGATGTGATATGACAGTATCACTCCCATCTTGGCTGAAACATTTTCAGGGCATATAATAAGATGCTTTTCTTCTTCTCTAACTCTTTGAAAATGATTGTTGACAAACTTATATTTTCTGCCTTTTTTATTGTACTCCACTTTGTTCAACTCATCTATGGAACTGAGAATCTTATCACTGATAGCAACTAGTGCATCTGATGTGCAAATCATCTTTGGTGAAAATAAGAATGATGTAAACAGAAGTGTTGATCTAATTATCAAAGGTAAATAAATATCGTGCGTAGGTCGAGTCGATACCGAAAACAGAAATATCGAATTTTGCACCCTTCACAGGCTATCCCATCCCTTCTGTCAGATATGTGTCTTGTTAGAGACCACTACATAAAGTAATAAATGGCAGGCTTAACTATATCTGGTGAATTCGATAGTATAAAACAAGCGAAGTTTTGTAACCCCAGATTTCAAGTCAACACTTTGGCGTTTCGTTTCGAACACAAATGTTCAACGTTCTTTCTACAAAACACATTTTAACCCGTTAAGCGTTAATTAAATATATATAGAAATATAATATAATCCAGCAATGCTGGTTCCATACGTATATGCAATATAATAAATATTCATGTGTATTCATGTGGAGCCACTACGTCGACAAACCAGCGTCGACTCTTCAGTTTACTCCTATGCGTTTATTTTAGTCCACTCGCCGGTGGCACCTATGAATTCAATTTTCTTTGTTCCTTTAACATTTTTATTTTACGTCTTCTGGCATTTATAAACCAGTTCAGCAATTGTTGATGGTTCAATCCTGTGGCAATCATTAACTGGTTCTTTTCGAACGAATTTGGGTATGGGTGATTGAGGTGGTCGTTTAACCAATTTATGAGGATGTAGGTAGTTTCTTTTGGGAGATTGTTTCTAGTTTTGCGCTTGCACACTCCTGCGTCGCTCGCGAGCTTGGCTGGGTATTTTGACTCGTCTGAAGTGAAGTTGGTTGGAACCACGCCCGATACTGGTCTGGCTGGCTCAGATGATGCAGCTCTAGGTCTGTCGTATACTGGTCCTCCATATCTAGGAGTGGTATCAAAGCTGGGACGAGCCATACCTTCATATCTTGAGGCATACTGAGAAGACGTTTCATATCTTGGTGACACAGGCAACCTGGCCTGTTCATATCTAGGCGACATTTCAAATTTAGGTGACACGGCATACATTGGACCCTCATGCCTAGGCAAGGTCTCATATCTAGCTCCCATCTCAAAGCGAGAACCGTATCTAGGACGTTGGTAACTTCCAAAACGGGCCTCCATTGGTGGTGGGGGTCCTACTTCGTATCTTGGGAAGGATCCTTCATATGTTTGTTGGTACACCGGTCCTGACTCACGGAGTATATTGGATATTGGTGGTAAGCTAACTTTGTTATTCTGTATGTTGCTCATGGTACTTTTACACTGACATAACGTTCAATTTACGGCTCATGGACTTCTTTTGCCTCCTATATATATTAGCATGTAGTGCCAATATTTATATTTTCTGCCAACTTCTTGGTATATGCACCGGTACATAACCGTAACTAGATTCTTGTCACATCTATTCTTGTCTACTGTATGCCAAGGTTGCATTGCGAACCTTTGTTGTGCGTCTGGAACTCATCAGTTTCCGGACTACTTAATTTTTCTATACTCCGGTGCTTAAAATTTGTGCCAACTTTTAGAACTTCGATATCTCTTGCGTGTATTATACATCTGCTTGGTTACTAAATTATTATCACCCTAGTATCAACCCATATATCGTCATACATAGTCTAAAGTGCTAAGGTTACTGACTGGGGCTTTGCTTACAAAAGGGTCGTAAACTTTGACATCTGTCAAAATGCCAAGACTTCCGTATTAGTACGACGCACAAAAATTTCGCATCCACCTGCTTGACAACATAAATCCGCTAGATAAAATTCTTAACTATGGGCTGAGAAGAGAAGGTGCATGAGTTGTGAGCCCCAATTGTGTATAATTCTTGTCGTTTTGTTCTTGTCATTGACATCAAAGGGGTTGGTAGAACAAGATTCAAGCTATACGCGTATAAGGTCTGGGGTCGGGTCGGCAGGAGTAATCCTGTTCCGATTAAATTTTTAGAGATGGAGAACAGAACATGAAGACAGCTTGAGAAATATATGGGGTAATGGCAAAATCGTTGAGAGGCCTAGTGATGAAAAGCAAAATGGATGTGAAACGAATGTCATTTGGAAGAGGTGAGATTTGCAATGCTTATTATGCCCAACTGGACAGTCCTCTGAATTTGGACTCTGGGCTCTCTCGGGAATGCACAATGAAGGCTTTGCGAAATTGAAAACTTGTCGCGGGCTTATAAAAGATGAGAAGATGCGCTTTAATTAGTATTGGTGTATGGATGTAGTTTAGTCAAAAATAGCACGTTTACATGTTTTTTGAGACTATTTCTTAAGGTTTCTATTAAGGTTTTCATGTACCGACTTGCGCTTAATGATCACCGCAGCGGTGTCACTTGATGCCAAGACTTGGCAGCTGCATGGAAAAAGACTCCGGCCATATCGGTATCTAAGGGGTCTCGGGGGACGGTCCGATGTTAACTCGTATTTAGTAGTAAAGATCCTTTTGAATCCCCCCCCCGGATATATCGGTGGGGGCCTAAAATACCCTCATCTTTGGTGGTCTACAGCTTTGCACCCATCTTCTATTGGGTATTTATTTATTTAACTGCAGTGCAGTGACCTATACAGGTATGTGCTTGTCTTGTAGAAACGCCATATTGATGTGTGTGATGTTTTTTACTTATCTTAGTTTGCATGGCATTTCAAGCTTTTATCAGATCTCTCATACAGTCTGCCGAGAGATTATTTGGGCAAAGACTTGTACGGTCAGTTTTATTTGCGCAGTTCTAATTGTAAAGCGTGGATACATGATGTTCGTAATCTGGACACTTACAATTTCTCGCTGAGAATTTGCTCAAACTGGTGCTTGTTGTATTTAATGTATTTTGCCTTGTTTTTGGTGAATTCGCCGCTTCCATATTTGTCGTAAAGTTTAAAGTATGCGTTCATAATTAACTTTTTAATTTCGCCAGAAAGATATGCTCGCAAATTGACATCGGTGATGTTATACTTTTCATAATTCCGCAATGCATCCTCGAATGATTCATTGAAGTTCTTGAACAACTCCTTTATCTGTTCCTTTTCTTTGCTTGACATTCCCGATCCTGAGTGCCCTGAAACTGCGTTCGTGGTGGTGATAGTAGTCATGTCACGGATAATAATATACGATGCATAATTCCAGTCATCGAGGAAGAGTTTCAAGAATCGCTTCTTCAATCTGTTCAAACGCTCAATTCCGAGATTGCCCAAGCTAGTGAATAACTGTTGTGAGCGGTTGACAATCGTCTCAATCAAAATGGTGTTCTTGATAAGATAGTAGCCTTGCATCGACTTCTTCAAGCTCACGTCTGACTTTAACCCAATTTCAATGTTGATGATAATCGAGTCGATATAGTCACTTATGAAACACGATAACAAGTGCTCAGGAGCTGTTTCATCGATGTCATCGCTGATATTAGGTATAACGGATGTGTACACACTGATAAATCTTACGGGTGGCTTGAGGTTCAACCATGACCCAAGCTTCATTCCATTGATCAACTTTAAAAGCGAAATGTTATATTCTGAGAGCTTACGAATTCTAGAAATCAATTCCACAACAGTTTCGGTAGCATTCAAGTCCGTTAGCTTTTCTACTGACTTCACTCTATTCTCACTGTATTCTATTAATTCACGGAATATATCACTGGATATGTTAATTAATTGATGATAGTTTTCATTGAATGCTGGGAAACTACGCACGTCGATATTATTCACATTCAAGAATTTTTCAAAATGATTTAAATTTTCAATTGTCTCTAATATAAGCAAGTCATTATTTAATACCTTTGATTGCCTCAGAAATTTATTAAAGTTTGCAATTACCTCAGCGTAGCTTTCATTGATTGCCCTACGGACAATATCAAGCATAAACATATCTTTTGCACTTGCACTCAAATTGATTTTGGATCCCACGTCATTAAGCAACCCTATTTCAGCCTTAATGGCCTTGATCATCTCATTATTGTATCTATTTATTCCATTGGATCCCTTTTCATAAGGAATGTTAGAGTTTCTCTTTATTGGTTTAGTAGGCTCCTCATGAGGCCTTATTGTTTCCACTAACTTCATTGATTGGCTCCTCATAAATATTTTGTCAATAGTGCTTTGACCATTCATTGACGAGCTGTAGAAGTACTGAAAAATGAGTATAATTTCGTTCAACTTATTCGTTCCTAAATCGTTACTCTTGAGTACTTTTTGGAAATAGTTCTCCAAATTCAATTCGGACTTGTCAATTAAATTTTCAAAATTAATTAGTATCCCTTTGAATCGTTTGATATTACTTTTCATCTCTTTTAATAATATTTTCGATCTGGCCAACGTATCAATAAATTTCTTTAATCCAATTAGCTCTATCGAATTATTCAAAACCGACTCATATTTGGAGGTTTCTGATGCATAATTCGAGACCTCTGACAACAAGCTCAATCCCGAATCAAGCTGATTCCTGTTCTCATTCAATTTATTGACGTCTTTCAATATAGGCTTAATCTTAATGGATGCTGTTGATGATTTAGTCGAGATCTTATTCAACGATCTAGAAATCGATGTGAATAACTCTTTAGACTTAATCAAATTCTGATTCAAGACTGCAACATCTGCTTCGTCTATATCGACATTGAATGACATGTTCCCTCTGTTGTTTTCTTCTATAAATTCAAGTATACTCCACGATACTAGTGTTTATTATGTTCTTGTATATCGTGTGGTATAAACACGACCTCTATATAAATTTTATAATGTGACTAATAGACTTAAGCTTATATCTGATCCATTAGACATGTTTGTACCTCTTGATCGGGTTTATGATACCCCAGATGATGTCGAGGACCTTGTTAATGAATTGGAAGAAAGCACATTATTAAAAAAATACGGAAGGTGTAAAAAATTTAGCAACATCATCAATAATACAGATCAAGAAATAACTAGTTGGAAATTTAACGAATGGGATTATTATAGCAAAAAAGAGACAAGAAAATTACCGTGCAATGCTAGAGGTTTATTCACTGTTGGTAACGAGATAGTTGTCAGAGGATATGACAAATTTTTTAACGTCGATGAGGTTCCCGAAACTAAATTTGATTTTTTGAAGAATAATACGACAGGCCCATATGATTTAACATTAAAGGAAAATGGGTGTATTATTTTTATATCAGGTTTGCTGAACGGAGATCTTGTTGTTTGTTCCAAGCATTCAACTGGACAAAGGGATGACTTGACCAGAAATCATGCCATTCAAGGTGAAATCGAGATTGAAAAACAATTGCATAAAATTAACAAGTCAAAAAAAGATTTGGGGCTTTTGCTATATAGCTTAAATGTAACTGCAGTAACCGAGTTATGTAATGATGAGTTTGAAGAGCACGTATTGCCATATTCAAAGGAAGCTTCAGGATTATATTTGCACGGATTAAATTTCAATACAAGAAAATTTAAGACCTACCCAATTCAAAGAGTGAACGACTTCGCTCTTGAATGGGGGTTCAAACCTGTTGACTATTTTCAAAAGAATTCATTTGACGCCCTATGGGATTGCTTGCAAGAAGCAGCAAAAACAGGAACTTATGATAATCGTGAAGTCGAAGGTTTTGTTATCAGATGTCAGTTAAATGGAGATGATTTTTTCTTCAAGTTTAAGTTTGAAGAACCTTACTTACTATATAGACAGTTTAGAGAAGTTACTAAAAGCTTTATAAGCAATAAGTTGCCAATCAGTGCAATTATAGCGAAAGTTAAGAAGCATAAGTACATTACGTTGAAATATCTTGACTTTATTAAAACATTATTTGATAATGAGCCATCTTATAAGGATAATTTTTTAAATGGTTTTGGTATTATTAAAATTCGACAATTATTTTTGAAAGAAAATGGGTTGAATGAAACGAGTGGAATGGAGTTGATAGAATATGATAGCTTAGATAGCAAGCTCAAGGAACTATCCTTAGTTGATGAGCCTACATCGTATAAATATGTGCTTATCCCCATTTCCACCATTGGGTGTGGTAAAACTACAGTTTTTCAAACAGTACTTAATTTATTTCCAAATTGGGCACATGTTCAGAACGATAATATAGCAAATAATTCTACCAAAAATAAACTAGTTGTTCAGTGTTTAACAGAATTGGCACAACCAAATACATCTCTAGTGTTTTGTGATAGGAATAATCATCAAAAAAGAGAGCGTCAACAACTATTTGAACAGTTTCTCAGCTTGAAAGACAGTTATTTGTCTGCAGATGTTGGCTTAAAGTTTATCGCCATTAACTTTGTGGATAATTCTTTAGACAAGAAAGAATTATTTGACATTACATATGATAGAATTAGCAAAAGAGGTGATAATCATCAATCCATTAAATTCAACACTGATGCTAAGCTAGCAAATCAAGTAATGAACGGTTTTATAAAGAGATTTCAAAGATTAGATACTAGTCAAGAGCCTGATAATCAATTTCATCTAGTTATAGATATGAAGCTCTCCGAAAATTCTTCTTTGTGCAATGCTAAAACCATTGTTAACGAATTAAAGCAATTTTCCAATTTGATTGATACGGTGCCATCAGACTATGATTTTGAAGATAGTTTCAACAAAGCATTAGATTATAAGCCTGACTTCACGAAGACTTTTGGAAAGCCTGAAAAAAATAAGAAAAAGGGCGCGAGTTCTATGCAGCAGAAAAAAGCGAAAAAGAGCATAGTCTATTACGGTGTTCAAATTGACACTCAGAAAGTGAAAAGTATTATCCACTCTAAAATAGAAACTAACCCTGCTTGGGTCGAGCTTACTAATAGTGGAAGGGTTCAAGATGAATTTCACATTACTTTATCCCATGTTAGCGCTGCTAGACAAGATCAAAGGCAGCGTGATATTTGGGAAGACTTAAATAAGAAGTTTAACTCGGAGTCTATTTTAACTAAGTATGATGGAAGAGATATTATGCTGTTGGACTTTTATTGTGATATTAAATTCAACAAGTTAATCATAGCGCAAGATACCTTAATATGCGTTGACGCTTCCATTATTGAATCGTTTAATGCAGATCATGATGTTGTTGACCTCAAGTGTTCAAATGCTTATCCTCATATTACTATAGGTACAATGAAACCTGAAATAAAGCCTTTTCAATCAAATATAATCCTCAAGAAGTTGTTTGATAGTCATGGTTATGAATTGAAGGATGGAGTCTATGATATTGAGGACTCGTATGTGGAAGTAATCAATTTTGACGATAGTGCAAAATTAGAAAAAATGATGTGTTTCGTTCATTTTTAGCATACTATGTACATGTATATAAATTATTTATAGATTTATTTCGATATTTCTTTATTATCTTTAACAACTAATTCATTGATAACTGCCATTGCAGTGTACAATCTATTCTCCGCTTCTTCAAAAACGATCGAATTATCACTATAGAATATCTCGTCGTCTACCTCTTCTTGATGTCTTGGTAAACAGTGCATAAATCTCCAATTGGAATTCACGTTTCCTCTTGAAATTAAATCCTTGGTGATTTGAAAATCTTTGAACTGCTTTAATTTCATTTGCTTTTCTGCCTCTTCCCCCATAGATATCCATGTGTCTGTCACTATGACATTAGCATCCTTCAATGCTTGTGTTGGTTCATGGACAATTTCAAAATTAACATTCTGTTCTTTTGCTATTTGATTAGCTTTTTCGGTTACGAGAGAGTCAAAACTTATTGATTCTGGAATTGCAATGCTCACATGCATACCCAGTTTTAAAGCTGCAATACTCAAGTCATTAATAACGTTGTTCGCATCCCCTATCCAAGCCAATTTTAACCCTTTTATATTACCGTTGAACGATTCCTTAATTGACAAAATATCAGTTATGGCTTGTAATGGATGATATCTATCACATAATGAGTTGATTATTGGCACAGAAGAATCTTTGCACAAATCTAATATTTCCTGATGTTTATTAACTCTGGCAAAAATACATGAAGTCATTGACGAGATAACTCTTGTGGTATCATACAATGATTCGTTGACTCCTAATTGGATATCGTCCTTACCTAAAAACATAGCATGGGCTCCAAAAAAGGCTGCTGCTCCTTCAGTACTGATTCTGGTTCTGGTCGATCTCTTCGAAAATAATAATGCAACCACTTTTCCTAATAACTTATTATGGTTTTCCTGAGCATTCTCGTTAGATTTGTACTGAGCTTTAAAATTTGAAGCTTGTTGAACTAAAGATTCTAACTCTTGAACCAGTAAATCTTGGATACTAACCAAATGATGAGGATACATTTATGTGATTAAAATGTCTTATTTATGAATATAAGAAAGGATTGCAAAAAAATTTAACGGGCTATTATTGCACCAATTTATAGTTCCAACGGCACTATTATGACTCAAATCCAATTGGGTAATCCAGAATTAAGCGCGGTGACAGATCAGTATTCTATATTTTACTCTGCTAAGTATTTGTAGTACCAGTATATGATTCTATTAAAGCAGATCAAATGAAGAAGAGGCAATAGTACAATCATTGCTTTAAAATTCTTTGGATTTAGGCGCTTAGATGTGTTTTGAGTTTCATCCTGGCTATATAGCAACAGCATAGTGAACGGCCAAACTTGGTCTACAATGATTTCTGTATGCAGGTCAACTCTGGTATATATTTCAGCAATGCTGACTAAGGGCCCTATAGCTTTCTTTAAGTTGGCAAGTATGGCAATTACAAGAGCTAAAAGTACTACTGTTAAGGCAGAAATATCGAACGGGGTGAGTTCTCCCAAGAAGGTTGTTAAAACTACCAAAGTTAGTAAAACGAATAGTAGGACACCACCATCACCAAAGAAGAAGCCTCATCTTGAAGACTTGCTAGGGCATATCGAGATACCGACAGATAATAAATTACCGGCTTCATATTTAGAATACTACGATTCTGAGTTTGCTAAGGGTTTGAATTGGGTTGTTGAGAAAGATCCTTCATTGTACCCAGTCATAGTACACCAAAACTTTGAACATTTCAAAAGGAAGGAATCCGAAGAATCACTAAGCGATGATGAGATCATATTGAAGTACTGGTATGCATTAATTTCAAGTGTTATTAGTCAGCAGATATCTGGACTGGCTGCAAAGTCGATTGAAGGGAAATTTAGGGCACTCTTTGAAGATGGAAAACCGACTCCAGCGAAAACTCTTTCCAAGAGCCTTGAAGAACTCAGAAGTGCAGGTTTATCGAACCAAAAACTGAATTATATTACACATATTAGTCAAGTTTTCAGTGATCCAAATTCAAATTTATCTAAGATTGAGTTCTACAAAGAAAATTCTGTTGATCAGGTTATTGAGGAACTAACTTTATTGAAGGGAATAGGTTTGTGGTCAGCGAAGATGTTTGCACTTTTCACATTAAATAATCTTAATGTATTTGCCTACGATGATTTGGGTATTGCAAGAGGTGCTGCAAAATATTTGATAAGGAGACCAGAGTATCTTCAAAAAATCAAAGCGGAAGTTAATGCTGATGAAGAATTAAAAAAGTTATTGAAACGAAAATCAAAGTTCGAATCATCGAAAGGTAAGAGAGATTGGGTTCCATATCATGATGAGTATATCAAATACTTAGGATTAGAATTTAGTCCTTACCAGCTGGTGATAATGCTTATATTTTGGCGACTTGGTTCAACCAACATCGATGTCTTGGAAAATACTGGTGTAAGATAAAAAAATATATAATATAAAAACGTTTCAAATTATGTATGTTACTAAAATAAATGTTAAACAGAGGATCTTAAGTGATGCCTTTAACGAATTCGAATTGCTCTTTGGCGAATTATCTTCCTTACTGTCCTTATCGTTGTTATCTTTATCGTCATCTCCTGGTTCACCTCCAATCGAGATATGCTTATTTTTTTTGCCGTTGTTGTCTTTGATCTTTCTTAATTCCCGCTCGATTTCATCAAACCCATAATCTAAATTACTTTTCAAAAACTGTAAATCTTCTTCAGAGAATCCTTGCGTTATCAAATATTCTATAAGCAGATCAACGTCGATTTCAATTTCACTGCGGTCATTGCCTGATTGAGCTGCTTCAATTTCCTCCTCTGCATTGAGGGCTAAATAATCTTTGATCCATGATTTCTTTGAATACAAAACAACTCTTGGTTTCTTAGAATCTGAAAATCTTGGAGGTGTAATGGCGGTTGTTTCCAGTGCTGAATCGTCCCAGGTTCCTGATGGGTTTTCCGTTTGCGATTCATCATCCTCAACATCTCTAGCCCTATTTTGTGATTGGGCATGAAACACAAAGTTTTTAGCTCTTTCTCTGTGGGGATATACATTCAGGAGCTCCTTATAGGCTGATCCACTCTTTCTACCATCCATCTGATGCAATTCGTCTCTTGCAGACAACAGCTTGTATCCTTTGTATGGCACCCTCCCAGAGGACACATCCTTGGTGGAAGCCATTCCTAAAGAATAGATTATAACTATAAGAAATATAAAGTTCATGATATATGGTATTCTGCTACTTAACGTCTAAAAACAAGTATCTAATACAATTTAGAGAGATATGCAAACAGTATATATGTTGGCTTTGTGAATATTTCGCAGCTACACAATGCGGCTACTCTTTTTGTACCAATTGGATATTTATTTGTACCATTCCTTTGTAAACTTTGTATATGTGTACTCAACATATCTTATATTATATTATTTCAGCTATATTCTAAAATTTAGCTTCTATTTTTTTACCTGAACTATATTCTTAAATCTTTAAGAATATTTTTTGTTTGACGTGAAAGATGCAAATTACATATTTTTGCGGCAATTTTGAAAATTTACTTCTCATAGAATTTTGGTTAAACGAATCCTCACTTACTAAAGGCTATTAATAGTAGTACACATATGGAATTCTATATATCGCTTATTAACTATATACATATTACAGAAGACTCACGTCAGAATGTAATCTGGAACAAAAGTTGCTTTTGCCGTTTACAGCCATTCGTCACCTAAGTTATATTAGGTGAGCATTGCAGTACAAAAAACAACATCAGATATCAATGTAGTCAGGGGTCATGTAAATGGGTCAGATCACGAGTAGCTTTGTAGAAACAATACAAAAAACACCATCTATAGAGACTATGCTCGTTTCGCATCACCAGCAGCACTTACGTTCCTACATTTGTTGGGATGGCTGGCTGTACGCGATGCCAGGGGTAAATGAAAGTTTGATACACAAAGACTAAAAACTCAAAATGTCATATCTAATTGTCTGCACTGCTCATTTAATATAACACATTATTTCCATGACCACTTAGGCCCATATATACTATTGCAGTCTCAAAAAAGACAATATTAGCATTTTAAAATTCTGTACGATTTTCAGAGAAGCACTCTCCAATGATGCAATCTTTTTGTAAGCTGCCATATGTAATATACTTTCCGATGCCGATAAACGTCAATTAAAATAATAAAATAAAAAATAGTGAAAAAATAACTACAGAGATGCTTTCAGGGGAGTATATGGTTCCTACGAAAGTGTATCTTGATATATACGTCCAGCGGTGTGCTGGAACAAGGGATTGAAAACAGCCGATATGACATACCAGGTGTGGCAATATATCGCTAAATTAGGTAGTAGATCTCCTAATTTTGTAACCATAACCAACCCCAAAAATGCTACTATCTCTGTTTATAGCCTAAGCACTAGTATTTCGAGAAAGTAATACTTCCAGCAATCTTTATTGTATTCAACATTATATGCACACCGGAGATAATTCCACTTTTAAACTGCAACCGGCATTTCCACAGCCTTAAATGCTAAAAGTTTTTTAGACAGGGTTCTTTTAAGAAGATTGAAATTATAGTCTCAGGTCATTTATCTATATTGCTAGCATCACATTCGCTTACAAACTAGTAGCAGTCGAGGATTTGACCGACAAAGCACGATATTTTGGAAATTTCAAACCCAATAAAATTACACGCTGATACAAACAACCCTTAATTGAGGTCTTTGACAGAAATTAATAATAAGACAGAAAGTGCTTCAAAACGTGAATTTATATCGAGGAACGGTATACGTAGAGAAAGAGATAGATTGACTAGCAAATTTGGATTGAAATAAGCAGAATTTTAATTTGTTTGTTTTTAAGTTTGCTAATTATTTTGGTATAGGACATAGCAGACAAAGCCGAGAACAACACTGATAATATGGCAGAAAATTCATTTCTGCAATCTTCGACTCGAAGGAACTCTATGACGTCGCTCTCAACGGCAAATTCATACAATACTGTGTCGACAACAGCCCGGAGCATGTCGACGGAGCACTTGACTAATTTAGATGATAAATTTACGAAAAAATCGATAAAGAAACTGCCGACATCTATGCTTAATCCGGCCGATAAGTTTCATAAGACTAACACTGGAACATATTATTTTCCGAATGGTGAGATCTTTCGTCCACGTATGACGCCATCAAAGAGACATAGACCAGGGAAGATTACAGGGTCATCACGTAATAATTCCATGACTAAGGATCCAACTGCCGGCTACGTACTACACTATACTCCATCGTCAGGAACCCCCGAAATTCCCAGATCATCATCGATGGTATCAATGCAATCCGCTAACTCAACATCAAGTCCAGTTCCGAATGCTTACGTTTCGAAGTCGTCGTCATTTACTAATTTGAGAAGGAGCAATAAACAAAACTTAGCTCAGTCATTACGATCCAATAAGATTGACACTCCGACTAATATAAATATTCAAAATCTTGCTCCTGTTAGTGGTCAGGCGTCTACTCCACATCATGCACCATCACCTACAACATCAACCTTATTAAGTCCCCCAGTACAGAATACAAAGAGTTTCCAAACAAACAATGTTTTAAGAGATAGTGAATGCATTCCAGAAGCATTTAAAATTTCTGATAACATTTATTCTGGTGGGCAGCCTAACCATCCACAAGTAACAAATATTAATCATAATAGACCGGTTCCCGCATCTTCTGATTCAAATTTATCTTCTTTATCAAACTATAATTTAAATAGGTCATCTTCTAATACCCCACAGACATCTATCAACACTTCTATAGATATTGAGGAGGCACCAGAGGGATATGTTAAATGCATCAAATATGAAAATAAGAATATGGCTGATGATGTGTTACAAAAGACAAGCTCATTAGAAAGTATTAAAGAGACCGAGCTTCATAGAATTGAAGAAGTCCCTAGAATCAATGTACAGAAAGATGAGATACCGGTCGATGCTAGGCCTGCATCGGATCACCAAAACGAGTCATTTGAAAGGATGCAAGACCCAGCAAAGGGATACACATCAGATAATCTACATAATCTAGAACCCGAGCATACAATGCAAGACCATTATAATGAAACGATTAGTGACCATGCTAAGCAGTATTCTGATGAAAATATAAAGCATTTTGAAGAGTCTACATTAGAATCTATTCAAAAGTCTCATCAAGCTTGCACGCCCACGCCATTGCATGACGAGATGATTGCTAAAGAATCCTCTAGAGACATACTCCCTGAACCTGATAGAGATTTGGTGGAGGAGGTGTGCCAGCCAGCAAAATCTAAAGAGGGTATTTCCCAACTTCAAGATCTGGAACAAGGTAGTGAAGAGTCGGATATTATTGCCGAGTATTCAGCTGAATCAGAATCAGATTCTGAATCTGAACTCTTAAATAAAATTCCTAAGCCTACATTAGGTATGATTGATGCCAATGATTCGTCTGACTTTTCTCAAGACGATATAAATTGTACTCATACACAAGTTGATTCAGACACTGAAGATTTAAGTACATTACATGATATGTCGGAAGATAAGTCTAGGAATAATTCTCCGACTAAACATACTTTGGTTTTTGAGCATTCAAATAGTGATGATTTTAAGACTCCAGAAGGTTCTCCTGATGTCGATGATTCGGAATTGTTGAACAATACAGAAAAGGCTAAAAATGTAGAAGAACTGAATAATATGAATAATGAAAAATTTGGTGACACTAAGGAAGGAATTGTTGAACCTGATAAGCAATCGCCTGATGCTCAGGACGTCGAAAAGTCTGCACCTTATACTGCTTCTCAATCAGGTTCGCCAGGACCCGAGTCTCCAAAGCCAAAAAATTTCTTTGACTTTCATAAGGATGATGCATTTGACAAGTTTTTGAACGATGACCAAGTTGAAGTCCCACCAAGAGGTGATGTTGCAGTTGTTGGCGATAAAATAAGAAAGCATGAGAGATCGGTCTCCTCGATTAGTTCATTTAATTCTATATTGCATAGTGAATTTGAATCGCCAAGTAAATCAAATGGATTATTTTCTAAATCGCCTAGGCAAATGTCTCCAAGAATACCTCATAATCATTCAAATTCTATTGAAAGAGCTTTTAATACTGATATTAAAAACTCAGGGGTTGAAGAAAAGGCTTTGCCTATCACCCCGACTAAAGGGCATTTTCTAATTGAAAAGTCTTTACCCGCTTCCCCCAAGGACAATTCTGTGTCACCAGATCATGCTTCACCAAATGTTGGACCATCACAATTGATTGTTTCAGACGGTAGCTCTTCACCTGCTCACGTATCTGAACCTGGTGCCGTGAAAATCCCGACATCAAACTCAATGCTCTTAGATTCTACCATTGATAAGAGTGGCGACGGTAATTCAAACAAACATCCGATAAAAAAAGGTTCTATGCTTGATGTTGTAACTGCTGACTCAAATATGTTAAAAAGGAAGCCTCCTTCAAAAGCACAGGAGCAGATATCGGATAAAGCTTCACTAAAACCAACTGATAAAATTCCTAAGGTAAAGTCATTTAGAAACTTGAGTGGGGGCACAAAATTGAAGAAGTCTTCATCTACGGCAAATTTCAAAGCATTTTTCAAGAAACTTTTTCCGTTGCCATCAGCAAACTCTTCATCATCGACTTCATCTGAAAGTAAGAGCTTGCAGAACCCAAAAATATCACAGACAAATATTTCACAAGATACATCATCTTTTACTAAGCCTAAAAAATTGAATAAAAGTAAGCGGTCCTTTTCATTTGCGAATTTGAAACTGGCAGGCTTCAATAACAAATCACATGGATCTGCGAATGAACCAAAGATTACCATAGAACCGCAACAAGATCAAAAAGAGGCCAGACCGATTCTGTGCGTTCTTGACAATGAAATCATACCACAAACCGAGAGTTTAACGATCACTAAGTTACCAACTATTGAAAGAGATGATAGTCTATTTGAAGATATGTTTACAAATTTTGATGAAGATTTTAATAGGGCCAATTCGACTAAGAGTAAGGTTCCAGCTAATTCAATTAACGAATTGTTTATTAAAGATGACGAATTGACTAGAGATCAAATCGAAGATCAGCAGAAAAGAGATAACAATCAAATTTCTGATGATATTGATGAAGACGAGACAAAGTCAACATCGTCTGATGCATTCTCTATGGTGAATTCTGATGAAATCTATATTGATGACAACATAAGATATTTGCAAGACGAATTAATATGGCCAATAGACAATGATGAATTCACTTCAATCGAAGACTATAGTGTTTTAAGTAGGTCTGGAACTGTGAAGACAAGGTTAAATCCAGAAAATAATGAAGAGCAAGGAGAAAGTACTGTTGAAACTATAGTGGTTGATAATGAGCAATTAACGAGCTTATTTGATAATTTATCAGAGTTACAAAAAAGAAGACTTCCAATTCACTTGAAGCATATTGGCCAATTCAAGGATTCAAAGATTTTAGAAATTAGCATTAGAAAATTCGAAAGCATTCCTGACTTATCAAATTTAGGAATAGTAAACAGACAACTTAATTCAATTTTGAAGAAGAAGCTTGGATCTTCAGAAAACAAGAAGGTTCAATTCTCGAATAAGATTTCGATTAATGAGACATTTTCACCTGATATGTATAAACGTTATAATAAGTCTGTTACTCAATACACTTTAACTGGATCAATGGAAATTAACAAGATTAAAAATGAGCTCAACACTTACAAGTGTAATGAAATGTTGGTTCATGAGCATTCTCAGAACAATACTCATTTTTTCTATTAGTGATAGACCTGGTTATTTATCCTTAAATTTTAGTTCCTCCGTACGTATTAGATATACATGTATTAAATTTAAATGACGATTATTTACTTTAACTGCCACGATATGTAGTATAACTATGATTGGTTAATAATAACGGAATATGGTAATGTTTATCAGGAGGATTAGTTACTTCGAACACAACTTCAACGAATGGAAAGAACGTTCTGTTGTTCTCTTTCAAATTGTGAAAGTACTTTCCAGTTAAGAATTTTATTTTGTAAATACCCGGTGTAAGTTTGTTCCAACTGTTACCCTCTATACCAATACTTAACTTTTCTTTAGCATCAAGATTTGGGTCATTAACCCAAGTTTTTATTCTCCCATCATTATCAGTTTTTGCCATAGCGAACGGTTTAGAATCAACAACTTCGTAAGCTGATTCATCATTAGGGTCCTTTGTTAAAGGTGAAATGTAATAGATGGAGCAAGTAACATTAGCTGCAGGCCTACCGATACTTGTATCTAGTATATGACATGTAATTGGATCTACTGACATATTATAGCGAGTTGGTTGTAATAAAAGAAAAATCAAATAGATAAGAATTTTAGATTATTGAGTATCATATAAATAATCGGAGATCTCCGAAATAATCAACTAAATTATAATACACAAATTTACTAATTAACAAGATTTATATTAACCTATATAAGACCATTCTATTACCTTGGAGTCATATTCCCAGTCTTTCCTGTCATTAAATTCATTAGTAAGGATCCAATCAATGATGCCATTAATTAATCTATAGTGTACATCTCCTATAAGATTATTAGAATGGATCTTGAAAATTCCCAAGTAGCTTTCGATATTCAACACCGTAGTTCTATCTTCATTTATTTTATGTAATTTGAGTATGTTTAAGCAATATCTCAAATGATCGGTCAATTGGTAAAGGTTATGCGGATTTACATCCTGATTTCGGGACACGTCAATTAATCTATATTTGATATGCAAAAGGTGTCGTATGGAATGAAATATTTCATGCTTGGTATCCCTGATATTTTGTTGACTATTTGGATCAAGCGGCCCAGATAGCAACTTCAAATGAGCTGAGTTTTCGATTAAATGCTTAACTTTCGAGTAGTTATAAATATCAGCTAATTTGAAAGGAGATTGACCATACTTCAACATCCACACAATAAATTCTAATGTCAATTGAAATTCTTCAATTGCTTGTAATGTCACACCAGTATTGCTACCCCGAGAATGAACTTGGTTGACTTCCAAAATTTGAACTTCTGAATCAGATATAACACCTTCGTCAATCTCCTCAACTTCGAACTCTCTATTTACATCAAATTCTTTGTTGATTTCTGGATTTTCATCTTCTTCTGTAGGATCAGTTAAATCTATGACATTATGGCAAGACCTCAGGGGTTGTCTTAAAAGCATGCTGTCTTCTCGAAAAATACTAGGGATGAAGTCATTGTCATTATCAACATCAATAATACCAAGGTTTTGTTTGAATTTTTTTCTATCGTAATCCTTTCTTAATAATTTTGGTTCTGTGTATGTCATTGGTGTATATGCCATCTTAGGTGGCTCGTATATCCATGGACTACTCAATATGGACTTTCTAAATTCTAGCTTTTCTTTCCAAGACTCAATTTCAAGATCCAATTCATCATTATTACCAATTATACTGATATATTCAGCTAACAACTCTCTCTTACTGCTAAGATCGTTCACAACTCCCACCACCTCGACTATCTTTCCGTATGAAGTGTTGAACATTAACCCTGCCGATAAATACAAAGCTTCTTTAACTTTCACTTCAATATTCAGGGTTTTATCACCAGAGAAGTCGTCCACAGTTACAAGAACATAATTTTTTGGATTTCGTTCACCCCAATCGCTATAATCCTTGAATTTTTCGCCTATGACCTTTCCTGTAATCTTAACTTTCTTGATCGGATAATTGTTTATCATTATGAACTTATTTATATATTTATCAAACCCCTTAGACCCATAAACTTCTAGGATAGACCTACTTTTATTAATATCTGATATGAATAAAGGAATAACCTTACCGTCAGTAGGCGCCATGTGAAATACTTCTGGGACATAAAAGCATTTATTAGGGTATCGTAGGGCGATGTGGTTTTCACCGGGTGCAAAATCAATCTTATTACGAATGCTGGCACCTTCCATTGATCATCATAGTATTGATTGTGCTTTTCTAAGACGTGTCTTTCATATGCGTTTGATGTTTACATCAAAAAGTAATCAATAAATTTTGGTGATGCTTATAGACTGACACAAAAATTTTTTTTGTAGATGAGTTCTTTTATTATAAAATTTAATTAAGTAAACACTAGAAAACATGGCATTATTCCAGGTTGAAGGATGGAATTTGAAGCAAGATAAGGTAGCTATTGGTGGTGGTTCAGATAAGAAAAAGGAGAAGAAGGAAAGAAAGAAGGCGAAGAAGATAGAGCACGCTATAGTGAGAAAAGAAGAAGAGAAGCAACTACAAGCAGGGCACGAAGAACACGCTAAAACACAAGCTGAAGAGACAGAGAGTAAAAGTGGCAATACCAATGAGTCCGGTGTAAAGAAAGAAAATCCAAAGAAAAGAAAGCATGAAGAAAAGGAAGTACAAGCAGTAGTCCCTGATAAACCGTTACCAATCACTCTGAAATTAACTCCATTGCAACAAAAAATGATGGCAAAGTTATCAGGTTCTAGATTTAGATGGATAAATGAGCAGTTGTATACAATTACTTCAAAAGATGCATTGAAGTTGATCGAGGAACAACCTGAGTTGTTTGATGAATATCATCAGGGATTTAGATCCCAAGTGCAATCATGGCCGGAAAATCCTGTTGATGTATTTGTAGACCAAATTAAAACCAGAGCATCTGCTAAACCTGTTAATGCGCCAGGTGGTTTACCTGGTTTACCAAACAAGAAGGTGGTGATTGCAGATATGGGCTGTGGTGAAGCACAATTGGCCTTAGATGTTAATAACTTTACAAAACAATATAATTCTAAGAAACCTAACAAAAAGCAAAAGCAAAATCAGGGTAGGAGATTCCAAACGGGACCAAAAACCTTAGATATAGAAGTTCATAGTTTTGATTTGAAGAAGGCCAATGATAGAATTACAGTCGCTGATATCAAGAATATCCCTCTCCCTGATGGGTCATGCACAGTAGTCATATTTTGTTTGGCATTAATGGGAACAAACTTCTTAGACTTCATAAAAGAAGCCTACAGACTTTTAGCCCCAAGAGGTGAATTATGGATCGCTGAAATCAAGTCGAGATTTACTGAGTCATCCGAAGCTAAATCCATCAAACCTGAAGATATAGGCTCAGAATTCGTTGATTCCTTGAAGCTTTGTGGCTTCTTCCACAAGAAAACTGACAACGATAATAAAATGTTCACCAGATTCGAATTTTTCAAGCCTCCGCAAGATATCATTAATGAGAGAAAGGCCAAATTAGAGAGACGTAAGAAATTTGTTGAACACGAAGACGAAAAAGAGCAATTCGAGCTCAAGAGATCAGAGAAGGCTGAGGGTGAATGGTTATTGAAACCTTGTATATATAAGAGAAGGTAAATTAGAGTATGTAATTTAATAAGCGAATCCGTGATGTTTGAGAATCAAAATTCCCAATAATGTAATTTCGAACCCGACTAAACAATTTTCAAAGCTTGGTTATTTTGATCTGTATAGAAAATAACCTCCTTATGTCTATCCAGTCATTGAATTGTAGATACTTATGTTTATCAGCTTGTTCCTGGCCACTCCATAAAGGAAGATAATGCTGCACCAGCTATATAAATCACGTGACTTTTAACTAAAGCCAGCCATTTTTCAGCCATTGATAGTAAGAGTGACTGGGTAAGATCAAATCGGTCATAGACCAGCAATTAATGCTGGAAATCAGTTTAGACAAAGGTCTGAATACCTTTATATATCATGAAATGTATTTAACTATATTTTGAAAGGGAATATGTTCTTTTACTAAATTTTAGGAAAAATATAATTTACCATAATGAACGAATATTACGAACCTACATTACTATTTAGACAGAATGCGGTGAAGAAATACAGTCCAGAGCTTTCACCTGTGTCGAGTATGAGCAGCATCGACTTACCAAGATCGAATAATAGCTCATCATCGTGGTTATTAGATTACCAAAATCCTAAAGATACTGAAATTCTCAATAAGTCATGTTCATTGAACAGGTTGAACATTAAATCCAACTACTGGAAAATACCTGATAATGATATGAACTTAACTTCTATGGCGCTTCAAAGACAAGGAGATTCGAATAATTCGTTTTTAGGTATATCGAGTGCTAATAATGATTCTAATTTATTCATCTACGAATTAGATATAGCTGAGAACTATTTAACACACAATAATACCATTTCTTTGCCAAATATTCATGCAATGAAATGGGTTCCACAGATGGGCAACAATGAATTAAGTTTAATAACAGGAAATAGTAAAGGTTATGCTCACTTAGTGTCAATCCCTAACTCAAACGAGGAAGACCAATCGGCTGAAATCGTTAAGCGTTTCAATCACAGGAAGCATCTTAAATCTATAAATAAGGATCCTTCTATTGCATCTCATAATTCTACGGATATCACAAAGTTGAATTTCATGGACAAAAGTATGGACTTATTATCCATCTATGACAATAATTTGTTCTTATGGGATATTAATGGATGTGATTCGCAAATCAGACCTAAACCTATATCTATTTCCAGCATACCAGGCATAGTTAATTTTGACCCTATTCCGAGAAATTCTAATCTGGTTGGTATATGTGGGCAATTTGGTGTTTCATTGTTTGATACAAGACAACCAAAATTCAGTGTTCCATCGTCAATCATGCAGCAAGCTAATAGGAGAAAGTTAGGTGCAAATGTCATAAGATGGTCTCCTAATGATGATAATGTCTTTGCTGCATCACATATGGATGGAGTTATACGGTTGTGGGATATCAGAAAGCAAGAGTATTTTGCAAGTCTTGACGGACACCAAGGAAAAAAAATAATTAGCATAGAATGGAACGAGAATGACTTGTTCAGTGGAGGAAGAGATGGAAATATTGTGCATTGGGATTTAACCTCCGATATCTACGAATACCCTAAGCCTGATATCACGAATTGTGGTTTGAAGGAAGGATTAAATAGTGTTCGCTTCAACCCTGTGAAAAATTCGGTAGAGAAGACCATAAACCAAAGACAGTGTGGTACAGTATTACCTGCGTCGAACACTAACATTGTGGATATGTGCTCGGTTTCTTTCAGTTCGTATAACAAAGAGGATGTTAAAGTACTTTCTATTGACAGCAGCTCTTTCCTTGGATTGCATTCCAAGATTTTTGATGCCGTTAAAGTGAACATCAACTCCGAAAAGATATATTACACCGACGACGACATATCTTTACTCCTCGCCGCTCAGAAATCTAGTCTTTCGACTTTGGTCAACGATTCAGCAGAAAATGTTACTAAGCCTTTGACCATTTCCAGAATGCCTACAACCAAGATTACTGAAGATGCTGCTCTGGCCCATCCTACACCTGTTAATATTGTTCCAACTACTCCTAATATGTCCAGCGACACCTTGACCGAAGGACCAGACCAGTTTGTGGACGTAGACGATAGCATCACGATTGAAGAACCAAAATTCATGTTTTCAAACCTTAACGATTCTGTCTTTTCAGTCGACTCAAGCCACGAAATAAATTCCTCGCCACTGTCATCTGGCTCTTGTGGTTCATTTGGCGAATCTTCTTCATCCATATCTACAAATCCAACCATAGTTGAAGCTTCTCCGATATCACACAAGAGAGACCCGAGCGATATTTTCAATCTTAACACTGATTTAGACTTTGGCCTTGGCTTAAATGACTACAAATTTGACGAGTCATTAGTTGATAGGTCTTTCGATAGGATGCTTTCACTTAAGACCAATGCCACCAATTATTATAGCGTTTATAGTAGTTAATTATATCAGTATATTCGTATACCTTTAAAATGAGTCACGTGAATGTAAAATTTGATGTGTAATTTTTAGTTGTTGAATATGTAATCTTATATATTCACTTGCTTTATCATATTTCCTTGAATTAATAACAAGTAATCGTATAAGATACATATATATAGATACATCTATTGATCCTATTGATAGTGGAAATAGATTAGATTTCTTTTGTTAAGTTTGGAATTGGATTACGGTATTTTTCGGCTACCCGATAGATACACACGTTCGTACGATAGGAGACCAATCTAAGTCAAAACTAGGCAGAAAAAGTCGATTGCATAATAGGTATATTAGTTGATACACCAAAGGTATTATCAAATAGTGGGTGTTGGAATATCTATTGAGAGATTAGTGCGAGACGTTCAACCTTCAATATTGCATCGAGTGAAAAATTCTGAAGTAAGGAAGCATAATTCAAACAAGTATGACTAGAACTACACCAGTGAGTGTAAAAGTGGTAGCTTCGGAATCACTTTACAAGAGAGATGTATTTCGTCAGCCAGATCCATTCGCTGTTATTACTGTAGATGGATCACAAACCAAAACTACAAAAACTGCCAAAAAGACTCTTAATCCATACTGGAATGAGTCATTTACGTTCAACGCATTAGAGGATTCTATATTGGTGATTCAAGTGTTTGATCAGAAGAAATTCAAAAAGAAAGATCAAGGATTTTTAGGGGTTGTAAATGTTAGAATAGGCGATGTCATCGACTTGTCATTACCTAACTCAGAAGAGACAATCACTAGAGACTTGAAAAAGTCAAATGAGAATTTAGCTGTAAGCGGAAAGATAATAGTTGTTATCTCTCATAATGCCAGAGCTTCGACTAATAATACTTCTTCTTCTTCTAGACCAGTATCAGGCGGTGCGGTTACTAATGCGCCTCCTATAATGAGTAACGGAAATGCTAGTGCAGCACCAAGTGGTCCTCCGCCACAACATACTAGCAGCCAGGCTCCAATAAATAAGCAGTATTCATCTTTTGAAGACCAATATGGTAGATTACCGCCTGGATGGGAACGTCGGACTGATAACTTTGGCCGTACTTATTACGTGGATCATAATTCAAGAACTACTACATGGCAAAGGCCTACCTTGGATCAATCTGAATCTGAAAGAGGTCAGCAAAGACAAGATACAACTGAAGCTGAAAGAAGACAACACCGTGGCCGTACATTGCCGGGAGAAACACCACAATCACCTTTCTTAGCTAACTCTGCTGATAACTCTGCCAGTGGAAATGTCACTGTTAATTCAACCGGAGCAAATACTCCAGTCAGTCCTGCTGCTGCTATGTCAATGGCTGCTTCTGGTGCGACTACCAATGGGTTAGGTGAATTACCTTCGGGTTGGGAACAAAGATTTACTAATGAAGGTAGACCATATTTTGTTGATCACAATACAAGAACCACTACTTGGGTTGATCCAAGAAGACAACAATACATCCGTACCTTTGGTCCTAATACTACTATTCAACAACAGCCAGTCAGTCAATTGGGACCATTACCGTCTGGATGGGAAATGAGATTAACAAATACAGCAAGAGTGTATTTTGTTGATCACAATACAAAAACTACCACTTGGGATGACCCAAGATTGCCATCATCATTAGACCAAAACGTACCACAGTATAAGCGTGATTTCAGAAGAAAGGTTATCTATTTCAGATCGCAACCAGCTTTGAGAATTTTACCAGGACAGTGCCATATTAAGGTTAGAAGAGATCACATTTTTGAAGATTCTTACCAAGAAATAATGAGACAAACTCCAGAAGATTTGAAGAAGAGACTAATGATTAAGTTTGACGGTGAAGAAGGTTTAGATTATGGTGGAGTTTCCAGAGAATTCTTCTTCTTGTTATCACATGATATGTTCAATCCTTTCTACTGTTTATTCGAATACTCATCTCATGACAATTACACGTTACAAATTAATCCAAACTCCGGTATAAATCCAGAGCACTTGAACTACTTCAAGTTTATTGGAAGAGTTGTTGGTTTGGGTGTGTTCCATAGAAGATTTTTAGATGCATTCTTTGTTGGAGCTTTATATAAGATGATGTTGCGTAAGAAGGTGGTGTTGCAAGATATGGAGGGTGTTGATGCAGAATTTTATAGATCATTAAAATGGATTTGTGATAACGATATCACTGACATCTTGGATTTGACATTTAGTGCTGAAGATGAAAGATTTGGGGAAATTGTTGAAGTTGACTTAAAACCAGGCGGAGCTCAAATAGAAGTTACAGAGGAAAATAAGCATGAATACGTTGAATTGATTTCTGAGTGGAAGATCAGCAAGAGAGTTGAAGAACAATTTAAAGCATTCATAGATGGATTCAATGAATTGATCCCACAAGAATTGGTGAACGTGTTTGATGAAAGAGAATTAGAATTGTTGATTGGTGGTTTGGCAGAAATCGATATCGAAGACTGGAAAAAGCATACCGACTATAGAGGGTACCAAGAAAGCGACCAAGTCATCCAATGGTTCTGGAGATGTATCAAGGAATGGGACTCAGAACAAAAAGCAAGATTATTGCAATTCACCACTGGTACTTCCAGAATCCCAGTTAACGGGTTCAAGGACTTACAAGGGTCCGATGGTCCTAGAAGATTCACAATTGAAAAGGCCGGTGAGTCCAACCAATTACCTAAGTCGCACACTTGTTTCAACAGAGTCGATTTACCTCCTTACACAAATTACGAGAGCTTGAAGCAAAAATTGTCCTTAGCCGTTGAAGAAACTGTTGGTTTTGGTCAAGAATAGTCTCACTCATGTAAATTTTGTCTCTACATCACTCCAATTTTACGATTTTTATTGGTCTTATGATTACGTTTTGGTTTGTGTTTGCTGTTATTTAATTTATTGCGTTTAGGTTTAATCTATCATATCTTTTTTTTACTTGTTGATCTTTTGTACCTTTTTTATGTTTTATGTTCCTCATGGAACCTTATTTTTTAATTTTACTCTTTGTTTACATTCTACTTTTCAATAATATACTGCCTACATACGTATGATTCAACGTCTGTTATACTAATCGTCTACTAAAATTTCTCTATGTGAAAGAGAGCAATCTCCCTTACCAAAAAAAATGTAGTGCGTCCATAACCATCTCTACTCCACATTTCGTCTCACGCCATACCAAATATTATCAGGCATTCCTATATTAGTAATGATTGCACACTTAGTAAGCCCCATATAAAGTTTTGGTAAGGGGAACTCCGCAATGTAAGTTTTTGGTTGTTAGCAGGCTTAATTAATGGCAATTAAATGATGACTTTGAGGAGAATCCACTATATATATAGATGACATCAAATGAAGAAAAGGCCTTTGTATAATTTCATTAGTTATAATAGTTTGAATCAATAAATACACTTATACAATGCCAGACTTATTTGATAATATATTTAACAGAATAGGAGCAAAGCTTAATGGTGGTAAGACGACCCACCACTATCAAGGGTCGTCGCAGGTGAATACTGGTAGATTCTACAGTTTCCACGAGAATGGTACCAACAACAAGTATTGGATGCCTACCTCGAAGAGTTTTGATAACGCAATGGAAAATATCGATAACACTAATAAGGAGAGAAAGAATAGTGATGCTTCAGTGGAATCAGAAGGCATGATGCCTAGATCCAGAATGAATAGTACTGCATCAGACATGCTGGAAAACCTGGACACCTAACTATCCGACCATAAAGGGGTCATTGTGTTCTTTTAATGTGGGAGAACACTGTCTGGAATGATATCGGCTTACTCTTGCGGAATTCAGGTTTACGAATTATGATTAATAAATTGTGATTTTTCTAGCTTATATAGTTAATAAATACTGGAAAAAATTGCTTTGAATGGCCTTAAAATGTAGCGTAACAGTTGCCTTTCCCAAAATCTTTAGTGTAGTATGAGATTCTTTTAGGAATTTAGTTCGTAAATTTCTATCATTTCATGCAATGAATCCTTGCCGCATTAGAGATACCATTCATTCAAATATCATTATATTATACAAAAAGATTAATACATTATAATGTAGAACTATAATACAGAACCATGAATACGCAGTGCGTGATAATAGATAAATAATGATTTCTAATATCTGAGTCGAAAATAATACTTTTAAACTGACAAAAATGAATTAAGGACAGATGAATTGAAAATAGTAACAAAAAGGTTCACAGCCTTATGAATAACCAGAAACTAAGGTTTTGGAAGAGATAAAAGAACATATATTGTCATGTCTAAATGATACATGGGATTTAACTTAGAAGCAGCAGCACAATTTTCGGAACCAACCTTTTTCTTTTTGCCTTCTCTCGTTAAAGCTCGATGTGTCTGAATGTAAATCACCATCATCTCTTACTGGTATCATACCATCCTGATATTCGTTTCTAGAGGCTACTTGACCATTTCTATCTTGTGTTATCGAATTATAGTTGCCGTAGGTTAATGATTTCGAACGAGGGTTTTTACCCTGTGGAGCCAAATTACGGCTCGTGCGTTGGGACCTCTGTGGAGGTGTATTTGTCGACTTTCTATGCTTGTTATACAATTGAGCGTTTTGTGATGAATTCTGGGGAGGGTGTGGATTACCGTAGCCATGTAGGTTGGCCTTTTTATTTAATGCAGCATCCCAACCTCTTCCGTTATTCAAGTCCATCCAATCATAATGGCCATCTTCAGTAGCATCAATGGATATAAGCGCTTTATCCATTAATGATATCAAATAATTATAATCTGGAGTTTCGTCGAATTTTAATCCTCTCACGTAGCTCAAATATTGTGCAAACTGAATTGGCAAGCCATAGCATAATTCATTCACTGAAGTGGTTTGTTTTTTCTGACCAATCTTTTCGTATTTTTGTTTGTTTGTTGGTGCTTTCAAACCTTGCCATGGTAGAGCGCCTTTCAAAAAGTAGAGGAATACATGTCCTAAACTCTCTAAATCATCTCTTCTCAGTTGCTCTCTTCCAAGATGAGTGTTTATGGACATGTAACGCGCCGTCCCACTCAATGCCTTTTTTTCTCTATATGGAATATGAGTTTTGGACTTTGGGTCCCTGAATTGCTTTGCCATTCCAAAATCAACTACGTATACTTGGTTTGCCTGAGGTGTACCTGGCTTGCCAATCAAGAAGTTATCGGGCTTGATATCTCTATAAATCAAATTGTTTTCATGAATAGTTTGCACTCTACTGATCATTTGTTTGGCTACCTGGATTACTGTCTTGAATGAGAATTTACGGCCACACCAGTCAAACAAATCCTCTAACGAAGGACCTAACAAATCAATCACCAATATATTATGTACACCTTCCTGTCCGAAAAAATATGCTTGAGGTATACCCACACTTCCATTTAATATTCTGTAGGATCTATATTCATCCCTGAGTTGTGGTGCTTCACACTTTCGAGGTTCAAACTTAATTGCAACTTGTTGATTGTTTAATAAATTAATTCCTTCAAAAATTATCCCAAACGACCCTTCTCCTATCTTTTTCCCAACTTTATAGTGAACTCCCACTATAATTGAAGAATTTGTTTGTGCCATCAATATTAACGTTCAAAATGGTCTGGCTAATCGATATTTAACTTTGCAAATTTAATATGAAAATTTAATGCAAATAAACTCTACGTTAACTTTAATCAATTCCTCAACCTTCAAAAAATTCTTATTCTTTTCTCTTAGTGCCCGATATCTCTTCTATTTGCTATAAAACCTGCTAATGTTTATGGTATCTGTCGTAGTTATAGCAATTTTTCCCGCTTGACAAAATTTTTGACGACTATTTACGTGCAGGACAAAATATGCCTCTATGAAAACACCAATTAAAATAGGTATTTAGCTAGATTATATCGGGTTTAAAGGGATAGGAGATGTCAGGAGAAGATGCTACAGTGTTTAAGCCAAATGCACGGGTGCTAGCTTATCATGGACCGCTAATTTACGAAGCTAAGGTGATAAAAATTCATGAAAAAAATAAGACATTTATTGAAGATGGAGAAGGAAAACATCAACCTATTGAAGGAAGCAACTTACCAGAAGAATACTACAGCGTGAACGCGTATTTTGTACATTACAAAGGATGGAAGGCAAAATGGGATGAGTGGGTTGGGCCAGATCGAATATTGGAATACAATGAGACCAACGTCCAAGCACAGAAAGAATTAAAGGAACAACTAACTAAGGCAAAAATCAAGCCCAAGGTTAAGACAGAGTCTTCTACGGTAACTACTGGTACTAAGAAGAGAGGTATGCCTGTTTCCGGCGCTACTACTAACACCAAGAAGAAGAAGACTGACCCCAACCGTGTCAATGAGGTTTCTATTTTTATGAAGCCTGAGTTAAAATATATATTGGTAGATGATTGGGAGTTCATCACGAAGGAAAGAAAGGTAATAAATATCCCTAGCTCGCGACCGGTGACAGCCATAATCAGCGACTATTTGCAATCGAAGAAGGACCAGGATACAAGCCCTCAGACAATGGAAGTGATAAACGAGATATTACAGGGATTGGAATTGTATTTCAACAAGTCTCTCAGCTTGATTTTGCTTTACAAGTTCGAAAGACTACAATATATGAATCTCCTCAAAGATCATGGAGATGATTTGCGGCCATCTGAATTGTATGGAGTCGAACATTTGTTGAGACTCTTTGTAGCATTGCCGGGATTAATTGCACAAACTACGATGGATTCCGTAAGTATCGGTGTGTTGGTAAAACAGAGTAAGGATATACTCGAGTTCATAACTGATAATTTGTCGGTGTATTTAAATGATTATGTAAATGTTAGTCCTGCTTATGATAGTTTAGCTAGGTCCTAATGCGAAATATCATTAGGGGATAAAATCGCTGTACATATAATAAATCAGTATTTAAAATCGAATTTAATGAAACCATATTTAGTTGACATAATAGATAAATCAAACGTTTCTGAGTCCATCAAATACAAAATTACCAATGATGTACCAGATAGCTTAGATAGCAGTATTAGGGACACCCAATTGATTCAACCCCACATTGAGAAACCAGTAGTGAAATATTTATTCAAGGATGATTTGAAAGATACCAAGTACACCAATGAACACATTGTAGAAGAGCTAATACAACTGGATGAGAATATAAAGAAAGTGATCATTCTTGAAGTTGAAGACAATAAAATAAAGGAAACTAAGCAGTATAATTTACAAGACGAAGAAGCAACTCAAATTTCACACATTGAAGTAAATGATACAAATTCACATAATAGTAAGATCATACGGATCGAAACGGTAGAATCTAACTTGAAAGGTATAGAGAAGTTTACGAATAAGTTAGGACAAACGAGTAGTCTACATATGTTGGAGCTATTTGATAATCGCAACAAACAGTTACTAGATATCATACGCTACGCAGACGAAACAAAATAAATTAATTTTTCACATTCATTCATAAACATAGGCATAAACATAAACATAAATCATAAATCATAAACGGCATCAAAAGATGTAAATACAAAGCGAACTACATACATCGTGGCATCTTTGGCCCAACATTATCAACAAGGCAGAACTAAATCGGGATTGCCCTATAGTCGACTTCGACTAACGGGTTCTCGTTATTGCAAGTAACTTCTAATTCTAATTTCCAATGTCTATCGTACTGGTCTTCTTCCTCTTTGGTGAAGCCATGATCACTGGCATCTTCAAACTTCCACTTCAACTTCGTTGGTGTTTCTTCAACTCCAACCTTACCAAAATCCATGGTAAATCCAGAACATTTCTCCATGTCTGGCATTAAATGCTTTTGAATGTGGTGCTGCAAGTTTCTCTTGAACTTACGCGACTTCTTGTTCATGGTAGGCTTGATTTTGTCCAAGTTGCCGTGCACTTCCTTGGTGATAAATGGTGGATAGTACGACAAATGGGCATGACAGTAGTCAAAATCATTATCCCAAGTCTCATCACGAATGTAACTTTCGAAAGCAACAATATCATCGAATTCCCTCATTGGTGGTGGTTTCAAAACCGATTGAATGGATCCTTCGGATTCAATAGAAGTAATCGAAGATGATCTTGATTTAGGAATTTCTTTTAAGTGAGTCAACTTTTCACAGTTGTCCAAATCAAGTGCTAATCCTTGATTCTTAGACTTGTTCTTTTTGGTCATATTGTTAAGAGTTTGAGATTAATATAGAGTATGAGTATTTATAGTGAGACTTAAATTTAAAATTTAGTTTTCAACTAATTAACGAAATGAACTATTACAACTCTCATTCCTGCTTTTATCTGCTTTATATACTCTTGGTTGCGGGTTCTAGCCATCCGTCTGTATCTGGCCACTTTTAAAATCTAATGATTAAAATCCCCTCGTAATTGTTATCACTCCACCATTCAAGGTCACGATACTGTTAATTTCTTTTACCATAATATTATATAACGAATAATACGGGGTTACCGTACTGTGGTTACACCATTATGGTATATGGCTTATGGAATTTTCATTATTCTTGCCTTTCGGGGAATAAAGTCGTAGTTTGTAAAAGCAATTTTACAAAAGAGCCACCTGGGGAATATATAGAAATAAAAATTCAATGAGCATCGGATAGTGAGATAAAGGTGAAAAATAGCAAAAATGGGGAAGTTGACGTTTAAGGGAGATAAGCCCAAGAAACGCAAGAGAACAGAAAAGGAGGATAGACATGAGCCCGTGAAGAAGACTAGGGGTGAAAATGTAAACTTAGATGGTTGGAGTACGGCCTCATGCGTAGAAGACTTGAAGGGCCCATGCATAGTGTTAGGAGATATTCATAAAGATGGGAATGTGGACAAGGACAAAGAGGACAGTTTTGCAGCTGAAGAACAGCATGCGGTTTTACAAGTCGATGAGGATGCTGTTACAACGGGGAAAGATCTTGACGTTGTAGCAGATACGGTTAATTTCTTTGGGGGGAATGTGTATCCAGGAATACATAAATGTGAGCCCAACAAGGTGAATCAGGTGTTAACATTGGTGCCCATTAGCGAGTTTGAGAAGTCGAGGCTCGATACTTCCAAAACTAACAGATTTGCCTTGAAGACTCATCACAATCGCTACATATCCACCACAATGGAGTTAGTGCATGCCATAGGTGACAACGAGATATTCACATTCAAAAGCGTTAATGTTGCAAACGACAAGTTAGGATACGACGAGCCCTGGTGGGAGATAGTCCACGATGACGCTCGGCTTGTGATTGAACATTCAGACTCGACTTACAAAGTTAAATTTGTGGACACTGGCAAAATACCCGAAACCAACGATATTATCGACAGGTTTGTTATCAGGGTGCAATCTAAAAATACTCTCAAGGGGTCACAAATACTATTGAATGACTCGGAGGTAGACAACGGTCCTAATTTGAATAAAATAGTCCGTCAGCTATATAAAGATACCAATGGAAAGATCGAAATAAACGATAAATTGGTGAAGAGGTTAAAAGATGCCATTTCAACGGGCGATATCAACGAGCAAATTATACAAGAGAAGTCTCGCTACCTTTCCAAATGGTAAACTAGGCACATACACTACATAATCCTTTTATATATTAACATTATTCTTTCAGTTACACCATAAAGTAGTATTAGATTGAATGCGACATTTCTCGATTTTTTTTTTATTAATTTTTCTGGATTGGACCTAATTATCAGAAAGACAATAGAATAACTGATATTAGCAGGGTTAACTTAGTAAAGTGACACTTTTTTCTATATCTCATTGTTATTAGCATCACACACAATAATATTAAAATATGGCATTTGGTGTATATCAACTACCAGGGGAGCAAAAGACCTATTCTCAGATGACACCTGAAGAACAGGCAGAGGAAGGTGCTAAGAAGATGGTTGAATTAATGCAATCATGTCCAGGTAAAACAGTCATGGCTGGTGTTTCTGGGTTCTTCTTGGGTGGTTTTTTCGGTTTATTTATGGCATCCATGTCTTATGATGTGCCAGTAGGTACTAGTGCAGTTAACAGTATTCGTGACTTGCCATTCAAGCAACAAATGAAGATCCAATTTTCAGATATGGGTAAAAGAACATACTCTTCGGCTAAGAATTTCGGTTACATTGGTATGGTGTATTCTGGTGTTGAATGTGCTATTGAAAGTTTGAGAGCCAAGCATGATATTTATAATGGTGTCAGTGCAGGTTGTATCACAGGAGGTGGTTTGGCTATAAGAGCAGGTCCTCAGGCAGCATTGGTTGGATGTGCTGGTTTCGCCGCCTTCTCAACTGCTATTGATTTATATTTAAGAAGTGACAGTGCTTCACCACCAAAGAATGATTATGATGAGTAGTGTTTGTAAATAGGTCCTTTTGTATATTAGAATACATATATAATACATAGAAATTACATCTTATTGTACAGTTTTAACAAAAATAATAGCAGTACTCGTAATTCAACCCAGACACAATAAATGATGATATTAAGAAGAAAATGATACTAGTAATTATTATGATATAGCGTATAGTAGAGGCTGGTTTACTTATTCGTTGTAAGCTTTCTAATTCCTCTAGTACTGTGGGTTCGTGTTGTGGTTGTAATTGTTCGTCTGCCTCTATTTCGTCAAATTCATGGTGGTCTTTAAGTAAACTCGATAATTCACCATCAAATTTCTGGAATGCCTCGCAGTCCACATTTATTTCTCTGTAAACAACAAGCTTTCTTATTCTATCTAACTTTTCAGCTATTGAATCCACAGATTGTAACTGTTCTTCCGTATCGTATATCTTTGGCAATATACGCTCGTTTGATACAACTCTCGAATTCAAGTAATCTCTCAGTATAGGAACAGGTCTAGGTTTTGCAAGATTTATTGTTTTTGCTCTAGGTTTCAAATTCTCTGGCAGATATATTTCATGGTTCTGAGACGAGCTAACGTTTCGAATAAACGGTATAGGTTCATGGAATGGTCTTGAATTATGTCTAGTCTCCATTGTTGCGTCATCCTCTTCCTTAATTTGTATATTTTTGTCTACCTTGTACGGTAAAGGTAATGGTTCTCCCAATTGCAATGCCACCTCATTATTTCTTCGTTTATTCTTAGTATTCATTGTGTCTTCATATCCAGTTTGTTAATGTTTTTATTTAGTAGATAATTTTCTATTTATGTAAATAAACGCGATTTCAGTTTCTACGTTTTTTGAAGCATTTATGTAACAAGATATTCCAAATTTTTATCTACACTAACTAATCCTAATAATACAAATATATTGAAAAATCTATATAACTATGCCTTCTTTGACGGAGAATGTTTGAATCTCAAAATAACCCTTTGTATCAAATATATTATACAACCAATGAACCTAAATAATGCCATAAATGCGACTAACCATAATATAACAGTCAAGAAAATTTGTGACCTTGTGTTATCAGTTCCTGTGTCGTCGTCAGAGAATTGACTAAATCCACCAGTCTCAAGAACTACTGCAATAATAATAAAGTTGGAAAACATCCAAATTAAAACAGTCATTGATCTAATAAATGCATAATAATCTTCATTACTTGTTTCTGGTTTTGAATTGCTTTCTTCCATTGGCTTTTTAATCTTTTCTAATTGATTCAAATAAGATTGGTTGATTTCTTCTTTCAATATTGGAATATTAACATCGAAAGTACCATCTTCTCTAACCTTCGCGGCACCCAAATCTTTGGCTCCTGTATCACCCTTTGTACCCCACGAAATATCATCTATATTACAAAAAGCATAGATGTTCAAGACATTAATATATGATGGGGAAAGTAAGATGTATTGGACGAATGACGTAAACATATGCCAAGGTTCAAAGTAAATAAACGATGCAATAAAGTACAATGCATAGGTGGAAGCTGTTGCAACCACTAAATCTCTGAATTGTTCATTCTTAAAAAAAAGCGATACCGTAATTTTGGTTTCATCGTTGTAGATCAGCTGAATCGAATTAACGGCCATGAATATGGCCGCAAAAATCATATATGCCATCAATATTGCAAAGAAAACCACAATGACTATGTAGAATTTTTCAGTTCCTTTAGGTTTATTACCAAAACTTAAAACGAATGTAGTGACGATTGATGCTAGATAAAGCCATAAAAATACCACTGATAACACATTTCCTGGAGCAAAATTTAAGCTCGAATCAGCTAATGAAGTTGTCAATATTCTGAAAACCAAAAAATACGAACCAATCGAAAACCAAGACACAATCAAATTTAAAAACTGGTACATGAATTCAATGTGAAGGCAAAGTTTCCTACCAATTGAATGAGACGATCCCCAAAGTTTAGGGAAATGTGCTAATGCATAAATAGCTGCAAAAAATGAACCATTCAACCATCTTCTTCTCTGTAATATAAACTCGGCTAGTCCTTGAGGAACATCAGTTTCAGCAGATGCGGTTCTACAGTATCTTAATAACCAAGAACAACCCTTTTTTGCAACCAATTCGTAACATAAAATTCTGTCTTCAGCCAAATACATATTTGAAGTAAATATTCCAGCTTCCTCTTTCAATTCAGTCTTCTTTAATTCGTATTCATCATCATTTGGATCAAGTTCCCCACTTCCATGTAAAAACTCACCCTTAAAGTATTTCTCTAAAGGACCCTTACCATTGATGTCATTTTGAAGCGCAACATATCTATAAGCTGAAAATGCACCTGGCAAAACCGAAATGAATCCGAATACCGATTCGGTTGGCTTATCCAAAATATTCGAAATCTTATATTCGAAATTCTGACCATATACTAAAGGATTTGTAACTAACTGTCTCTTTTGTAAAGCAGCTTTTATTTCACCACATGCACCTGCTACCTGAGGGTTTTTGTCGAACTCTTTCCACAAGTGGTACAAGGATTTGCCTGAAGGTTGAGTACCAGCATCCAACAAAATTACCACTCTTGGATCTAAAACTTGACCCAATGCCTGAAAACACCATCTGTGTGAATTAATTTTTTTAGCATTTGTTTCTTTCAAACAGAATAGTAATTGTACTGGAACAATCTTTTCGGTGGTGAGCTTAACTGTATCATCAACACTAGAAATACCGACTCTAGTGGTATACTCATAAATATGTGCTTGGACTTTCTTGTCGTCAACTCTACTCTTAGCCAATCCATCTTGATAGACCCCTAAACCTGCTAATAATGCTTGTGCTCTTTCATTAATCTTGGAACGACCATCACTTACAATACATACAACTACTTTTTTCCAAGAATTTTTCCCCCAGACAGGAGACCTTGTTCTAGATTCCAAATGTTTTATATTCTTAAATACCCCCTTCAATGTTTTTGCCAAAAGAATGTCATCTTCATTATACATAGTGACAACTATCATTAATTCTGTTTGACGGGGCATTGGGTAATGCACTGGTCTCAAAATATAGCCATCTCTATAAAAATTAGATGGTCCACATGTAACGGCTGTGTATCTCATGTATGCAAATTCTCTTGATAACCCGTTATCCTTCTCGGTTTGCCTGTAGTCAGGAAACTTTCTTAACAACTCAGTGGCTACTGGACAATCCAAAACCAAATGTCCGTTTAACCCCGATGCAATACCTATTTGAGGCTTGGACCTGACCTCTTCCTCGCCTTCTTCTGGAGGCCGCACAAATTCGTCTCCTTCGTCGCCAAAAGGAGATTGAGGTATGTCAACTAGTTCATCTTCTGGTACCATAGGATTCACCACTTGCACTGTATTCAAATCGTACGAATCACCTTCAAACTGGTTGTACTGAATCCTTTGATCGAAATCTCTTTCTTCCTCATCATCATACACATTAGGCACAAACGCATGGTCGTAGTTCTCTCCAGTATATCCAAAATCATGAAACTGATTCAACTCATAATTATCCATATCTGAATTATCATTATACGGCCTAGTATCGAATGGATCTTCACTTTGGGGCAATGGTGCTAAATTAGGTGGCCTTGGAGCATTAGATGTAGTGAAGATGTTCGATGGTTCAATCTCTTCATCATGATAATAGCTATCGAATTCTTCATAGCTGTCTCCGTTTTGGTTATTATACACTGGCTGTGGCTGTTGGAAATTAATTGAATTATCACTAGCCATTCTGTTTCGTTGATCTGCCGCTGGGTTATAATTATACACTCCTGATTGTTGATGGTTTAAATAGTCATTTAACGAAATATCGTCTTCATCCCCATATTGGTTATGATTATTGTCTAGACGATGAAAGCCACTCATGCTAATTCACTTTTGAAACTATCAAGTCAATTAGAATGACCGTTTTTAAATTCCTTGTTTCAAAGAGAAAGATATTTTAAGATCAAACACGCGTGAACAATCTCAGCCACTACAAAATGTTTAAGCATGATTTCATGTCAACTAAACGGTCGCAGTACGATCAAATATAACCTATTCTTAGCACATGCATGAGAGGATACGAGTTATTATCCTGTTTTAGAGAGAATAATGGTTTGATATTGTCAACGCAAAGATATTTGAAGATAGCCAGTATAGGGTGGTCCAATAATACCTATGCTTTCAGGTTTTCAACCCGTAGAATATACATATGAGATAATAATCTACAATACTTCTATATTTCGTAAGCATATATATCCGTATAAAGACATGTTAACATGTTAATTAGATATGTTGAAAAATAGATATGCGAGATCAAATAGAAGTTATGTTGGGACATAAATACCAAACCGAGCATCGAACAGCATCAAACAGCAGGAAACTGCAATGAATAATAGAAACATGTTTTAGGAGTGGTAGATAAGATTGGTTTGGTACTTTCCTGCCGATACCTTCTTTCTAACACTGTTTCATCCATTGTGGTATCATCGAGACTGGGATGGTAGGACCTATCTCGTCTAATTATAGAAACCAGTCCGATGGTTTATGTAAGCACCCTTAAGCCAAGAGCTGTATAGCCAGGAATGTAGGACGTCCACCATGACCGTTGGTGCTCAGGCACTGCATGCATGATAGGATGATGAGCGGAAGTATCAATTGGCAGACGTACTATCTAAACTGGCAAATGTATATTTTTGGTATGCCTCAAACTGCGGCTGACACCTATAGAGAGATGATCTAAAGGGAGCAAATGCTGCATTCGGTCCAAGAACTGGGTAAGATCATAGATAGCTGAAAGGCTATTAAACTAACGCAATGATTGTAATCGTACATCTTGCTTGGGTAATAATTCCAACAGAGAGCATCGTTCTGTATTAATGATGTAGTCAACATAGTCAATGAACTAAATTGAATCTTTAATAACTAATATATAAAATAGTAAATACATAAGACGACCTTATCCCATTATATTTTTACATCATTTGTACTTAGATGGTCATTGACATTTAAACAAGTCGATTTGAATACCATTATAACTTGCTTAGAGACCGATGGGCGAGAATATAGAGTAACGTTGAATCCTGATGGGTTTATCGATATAGAGACATGAAGGCAGATGAATGGATTTGAAAGCGGTAGATAGTATTACATTTCAGTTCTTGGAACCTTATTTGTGGATTGGTGGCGCAAAAATTGGGTCACTAGATGAAGCATCTGACTCTATAGTGGTATTTTACTAGAGACAATGTAAATTTGACATACCTTTACCAGAAAACTCTATACAAGGCATACATGACAACGGTAAGATTCTTGGTGTATGTGGTACTCTGTATTAGTTGGTTGTAATATTTAAAAAGCATAGGGACAAGTGTGTTACAGAATGCAAAAATCAGTATTATTTATACACGTATTGCATGAACGCTTCGTATAAACCTGACCACTTCTATCCATATAAAACGCACAATATAAGTAGATAAGAAAAATGATAACCTTGTTACTCTTTAGTTATGATTCTTATTAATTTGATATATGTGTTGTGGTTGGTTATTGTACCAATCATATGTCATACACCCGATGAGCAGGTATTAACCCATGAACCAAATAAATTAACAGGATGTATAGTTATATTTCAACCACATTATGATCCCACAACTCCACAGCAAGCTACTGAAATGAATAATCGAATTAGGAATATTATGGACAGCTATAGGAAATATGTTGAAACAGATCTAGAAAACACCATTAAGTTTGAATATTCTACGTTGTTTTATGGGATGGCGATTGAGTTTAACAATTTGGACAAAATTCATGAATTGATTGTCCAGAACCTGTCTGTGGGACAAGATGAACTAGACATTGATAATCATGAATTGATGGAACTGGAAATCAAGAAATTGTTTCAAAATTATAGGAAAAATGAATTAAGTAGATATGGAATCGATTTGGTTTATCAGTCAGACACACCTGTGTCTATTGATGAGCCTATGATGTAATAATGAATGTACGAACTACGATAAACTACACACAAGTCCGAATGATCGTCGCTTGTGTTCGCAAACAAACATGTAATCATAATCATTAAAATAGAAATAAACAAATAATCCCCCTACCAAATCATTATCAAAATACTGAATAAATACAGCCACAAGACGCTAACACGAAAGCAAAAGTGAAACAATAACATAAAAACTCATAATGAGTGGTGCCTACCTTGGGTGGATAATCGTCTCAGTTCACTGAATCGAAATCTAATTCTAGGTCTGCCACGTTCAATCTCTTCATTTCGGGTTCTCCAAATGTATTCTCACCCGAATACAACACATATAAAAATCCGTCTTCATCCTTATGCTCTTCGTAGATAGTACTCATTAATGCAGCTGTAGGTGGCAAGATGTCGTTTATAAAAATAAAAATAGCCTTTTCACTAGGCAACTTGATTCTCTTTCTTATCACATACACAAACTGTCCGACAGACAAATCCCCAGGCACCAAGTACTTTCTCTTATCGATCTCCTGGATATCCGAATTTTCTGCCTTCTCACAAATAACGGGAAGTCTGTCATTGAACCTTTGCGTGATCCGAGTAGCTTCTGCCTTTCTCTTTTCTATATCCCAGTTAGCATTCCCCCCATTCAATCCACAAACATTACCTTATAAAAATATACATACCAAATGGATGTTCGTCCTTAAATTGAGATCTCATATTAATCCTATCCATGTTAGTAATTGCTTCTATGCTACATCCCAGGTTCATAAATCGAAAAATGTTCTTGACGACCGGAGTGGCGATTCATGGGGAATTATAAACAATTGAATATCCTTTAAATTTAAAACCCTCCAGCTATTTCAAATCCTTTATAGAACGGTATACTTACAAATATACTTTCTGATGTTCTCTATAGTATTACCACAGATTATTTATTACAATTATTGTTAAATTTAATAATTATAAACATCTAAATGACTATCATTTAGTTATCTTATCTTTAGGGAGGTGATTAATCGCGGTAGTGCGTGTTTCAATATCAGAAAACGTATTTTGATAAGCACACAGTAAACAATTGATTCCAACGTGTTTTCAATACTGACCTAGTCATCAACGATATTATGCTTCGATAGGTTGGTTGATGATAGGTATATTGGGATTATTCATCTGTTGGTGGGGAGTTTAATCGGGTTCTGTAGAAATCTGGCATGGAAAAGGAATACCAAGTCGATTTAAATTTGCAATGCTTGACGACCGTAATGTATATCACATTAGAAGTATACATGTGGATGTATAGCTTGGTGAGTATGTACTGTAACAGTATTGTTAAAAAAATTGTTCTAATTGTGGACTAGTTCGAAGAAATTGCTGCGAATTTTAATCATTGCCATTTTCTTGAATTTTTTTCATTTTGATAGATACAAAGGTGATATTCTGAACTTGGTAGCACCATCAATGTAATGCTTTATTGCTGAATTAGCCTTGTCTTCAAGTTGATTGTATCCGTTATATTGGTTGCATGGGTTGTAGATGATAATAGAGTCCGTGGGTGACATTCGCAAAACCAATGTAAAAGAGGCAACAGGAATGAACGATTAGATTGGAATCAAACCATTGAAACAGGTCTGGACTTTTACCAAACTAGAACTCGTATCGATATAAATCAATGGTGAACATTGCACCTTTACTTGATAAGTCTATTTGTTGTGTACTGCATATAGACAGGCCAGTATGGATTTCAGAAAAATCCTTCTGCTGGGCATATATAGCTACATGGCCAGTATACGAAATGATAGCATTTAAGCGACTAATACACTCGGGTAGACCATTATTCTCTCCGGGATTGAAGCTTGATCCAAATTACAAATTGAAATGTGGATTGGAAATACATACTCAATTAAAAACCAAGTACAAGCTATTCTCATTATCATCTACAAAGTTCAATTCTGAGCCCAATACAAACGTTAGTTACTTTGATTGTGGGTTACCCGGGACCCTACCTAAACTAAATCCAGAGGCATTGTACTTAGCATTAAAGACAGCTGTGGCGTTGAACAGTGATGTGCAATCGTTTTCAACTTTTGACAGAAAGCATTACTTTTATCCGGATCAACCCCAAGGATTCCAGATAACTCAAAGATACCATCCTATAGCAAAGAACGGATATGTGGAGTTAAATAGCAAATTTGACGATATAGCAGAAGATCTGAAAATTATTAACATCGAACAGATTCAAATTGAACAGGATACTGGTAAAACTACTTATGATAAATTTGACAAGCTAATTAAAGTCGATTTAAACAGATCCAATATTCCATTGATTGAACTAGTTACAAAGCCTGATTTTGAAAACATGTCACAAATCAGGGCCTTTATCAAAAAATACCAAACCTTAGTAAAACATTTGGATGTTTGCACTGGTGACTTGGAAACAGGTGCGATAAGAATAGATCTTAATGTGAGCATTAACGGTGGTGAGAGAGTAGAAGTTAAGAACTTAGGAAGTTCCAGCGAATTAGCAAGTGCATTGAAGTCTGAGTATCAGAGACAAATAAGGATGTCGAAGGAAAATACACCTGTCATTCAGGAAACAAGAGGTTGGGATGGTAAGGAGACTGTAAGGTTGAGGAGTAAAGAGGATGCTGTGGAATATAGATATGTCCCAGATTCTGAATTACCATTTATCAACTTGGATCCTGGTATATCGCAGGAAATTGCTGCTACATTGCCTGATTTGCCTGACACCATTATAACCAAATTAATCTCCAAGCCATATAACTTGGAATTGAAGCATGCTAAATTCTTTATTGAAAATAAGGATATTCTTAATTATTATTATGATTTATTTAAAATCGTGGTCACTGATGCCGGTAAAGACTATAGAGTTGCAAACAATTGGCTCGTACATGAGTTGATTGGAGCCTTTTCAAAATTTGAAGTACCATTAGATGTATCTTTAATACCTCCAACAAAACTCGGAGAGATAATTATTATGGTCTCAAATGATGAACTAACTTCGACTTCAGCTAAACTATTACTTTCACAATTGGTTAAGTCGCCAAGTGATAAAGATTTAACTATTCAAGAATTAATAGGAAAATACGATGTAGGTAAGATTAAAGATATCACTGAAGATGAATTATCAGAAGCAATTGAAGAGGTATGCATAGATATTATTGAAAACAATCAGGATGTTATAGAAAAAATTATTACGGGAAAGCCGAAGTCAATTAATTATCTCATTGGCTTGGCTATGAGAGAAACAAACGGAAAAGTTAATTCTAAAGTCATTGAATCTAAATTCAAGCAGCTAATTGCTAATTATAAATAATAGATTAATATATTCATAGAGATATGTAAATGTTATATGGTTTGCCTTTTAGATAATTATTTTTTTTTGACTTGATAATTATAATCAAATCCGTCATCGCCATTATTTAATGTTTGACTCATAATGTATTTCAACTCATCCTTTGATGCTATCTCTTCTTCGTTGAAATAGTCAGAGATACTATTTGAGGACGCTATACCCTTCTCTAAGTCAAAACTTTTTTCTTCAGGACTATGAGCATTCAGTGTTGACGACCCACCAAGAGTACTGTCGTCATTTATTTCATTAAATCCATTTCTAAATTCACACATTGCTGGTTTGCTCAATTCAGATCTGTTACTTCCGACTCTTGTTTGAGTTGACATCTTCGAAAGTGCAAATTGACTAGTTGGACTGTTATTCTTTGTCAAATGGAATAGCTCTAGGTGATGTGAATCTGATTTTGTTGACTTATTGAATAGCCTTCCAAGACTAATAACACATAATCCATTTTTGTACATTTCCAATGCATCAGATCCTAGACCGAAAAGTAGGAAGGTGACAACTGATAATGCAATATTAACCCATCTGTCATAGACTATTTCAATTCCAAAATCAAAGAAGAAAATCTCTCCCCAGTATTCGTTATGAATTTCAGACCAGACAAAGTCTCCTTCAAACAAGCTAAAGTCGCTGACGAAGAAGTAAACGGCCACAGGAACTAATGCAATAACGATTAAAACGTTAAATATCAATAGCCTAGCAAACCTTTTTATATTCAATCCTGAGTTTGTGCATCTTAGTATATCCTTCACATCTTTTCTTTTCCTGCAGTATGCTGCTAAAGTCAGAACAGAAAAGACAACCGCAACTGCTGCCCAGATTATATTCCACATAGAATATAAAACAATTGATACCGGGGAGAGCGCATATGTCACCGTGCATCCCCTGTATTTTACAATAATATATCTTGATGTTTGAATAATGTAGTTTGTACACATAATAAAAATAGGCGTAATCAAGCACATCCCCAATGATATCCACATTTTCATCTTAGACCCATTATTCATGAATGCTGGATATTTTGCCCATAACACCATAAATAAATTAAATGCCAAAGCACTGATTGCACAAATCATCCCACTAGAGGATGCAGCCTCCAATTTCATTGTAACATCGCAATATCCTACGCCATTCCACTTCTGGTCAAAGTCTTCTCCTCCCCATATACAAGCATTGATAAATGACGTCAAATCAAGAAACAATAACCAGAATATCAAGCATATAGGAGGGATATTTTTGCACTTGCAGTGCCAAATAAAAGGAGGGATTAATAATATGAAAGCAATAAAAGAAAGGCCTGCTAATGTATTTCCTTTTTCATCCATCTCGTTCTGATAAACTAAAATAACTATTCTATATCACAATCTAATATAAATAAAGGCAAGAGTCCCACTTTTATATCTCAAGTATGTTTCATATATTTTGGCCTTTATTATTGGTGTCTATTCAGCGAAGTCATTTTATTTCATTAAGAACCTTAAATTAGATTCATGATTTGTAGGACATGGTTCCATTCACTGACTAAAAGAGTAGTTTTGCTGTTCGTCCCAATTGGGACTTTTTGCGATTTGAACGTTCGCACGACTTTGTCTACAATGCTAATAAGTTAGAGTATGGTAGCTTACGATGAACATATATGTTAAACATAGTATTAATAAAGTACAAAAGTAAGCTCTGGGGCAGATATTATAATAAGGTGAGATAAAGGATCAGTTGATACAAGATTTTAAAACCTCATTTGCTGAAACGATACCGGAATACTTTGAATCTAAGAATTTTAATAATTCAATAACCTTTTGCTTCAATTCTTCGGTTTGGAATTGCTTCATTCTATCAAGGTTTTCTTCTCTTCCTAAAGTTGACTCATTGATCAACTTGATTCTTTCGATTTCTTTGGTGAAAATTTTGGCTAAAATATCAACAACCTTATCGGTTTGGCTGGCAATTAATTCATTACCAGATTCGTACAACTTGATGATCAACAGCAAAATTGGGGTATTTTCTTCAAAGGCAGTTTCAAGAGGTAAGTGTTCTAATAATGGGCCCATGATGTGTTCCAATGGAATTGCTTGTTCATGCTTCAAAGCCATACGTGCAACACAACCACATGAGTTTGCATATGATCTGTTGACAACATCCTTAGTTTCTTCGTCATCTTCACCGGCCTTTCTGTCAGTCTTGTTCAATAATTGGAATAATAACTGTAAGATGGTTTGGTATGTAGATGACAAGTCAGTGGCACTATGTTCAATTAAAATACCAATACCGTAAGCAGCGTTGCCCTTGACCTCTAAAGATTTATCATTAGCCAATCTATCTGTGAAGACTTCAAGGAGCTGTTGAGTAGCTTGGTTACTTTCCTTCAAACCAGAGGAAATTTCTGCTAAGGCACCGATAGCACTAACTCTCTTGTTCTTGGATTTAGAATTAACTTGAGATAATATAATGTCTTTGAAAGAAACAAATATCTTGTTGAAATCACTGCCTAAAGTAATAGATAAGTTGACTAAAACTTCTAAGGTAGATTCAAACAACAATGCTTCGGTTTCAGAGGTCTCTTCTTCGTCGGCTGGACCCTCTTCATCTTCAATTTGACATGGATGTTCATTCTTCAAGATGTTCATTAATTGAACACATAATCTTTCTAAGAATGAAGTTTCACTTGCATTATCAACAACAGTTATTGGACCTAACATGAAAATGGAATCAGATAAGTTATCTAAGATACAAGCGACCATTGTCAACTCGAATTCTTCTTCCAAGTTAGTAATAGCAATTTCTCTCACTTTTTGAACTAATTGTAAGATCGAGCTATCAACATATGGCTGTTGAGGAACACCCTTTGGTGCCTTGAAATCTTCACCATATTGAGCTTTGAACATGGCTCTTAAGATTTTCCATAATGCATTCATAGAAGCTTCTCTCATACCGTACGAATTATCAATTTGATCAGCCAAGGTCTTAACAGACTGTTCAACATATTTAGCGAAATCCTTACCAGTACCGATAGCTAATTCCGATAAGGCGACTGAAGCAATTTCCTTTTCAATGGTGATACCAGTATGAACATTAAATTTGTTTTCCAAATCTTCTTCTTCTTCACCGTCGAATTCATCATCTCCATCTACATTGAACGTAAATTCTTCTTGTTCTAAACATTTAAGGATTTCTGGAACAATTTGGTCCAAGAATCCAGCAAATTCAGCACCGTAAACCTTTGCCATATTTGAGATAAAAGCGAAACCAGATTCTCTGATTCTTGAGTGTTCTGAACTCAAAGAATTGTAAGCAGCTTCAACTAATGGCTTAGCGTAAGATGAGAAAGTTTCTGAACCAACAGCTCTGGCCATGGTAGAAATGTTTTCAAAGGTTAATGCTCTTAATTCGATATCTTCTTCGGTCATACCTTCAGTGTCTGCAGCATTAGCAATAAATGGCTCTAAGTATTGAATAGAGTTGTTAAAGTAAGGTGTAAAGCCTTTACCACCAGCATAAGCGGTGGAACCGATAGCGGAAACAATGGCTGATTTCAATGAAGAAGAATTTGCTTGTTGTAACATGTGGAATAATTTGTTCATTAATGCTTCCAAGTATTGGCCAATAGCATCATGACTCATAAATTCAATCAAACCATCTAAAGCAAAACATGCATATTTGTAAGCCATGACAGAAGTAGCTGAATCAATAATATCGATAATAAGAGGTAATAAATCCTTGTGAAAATCAGCAACTGCATCTTGAAGCTCCGAAGTTAATTGAGATAAAGATCTCAAAGCGGCAACTCTGACGATAATTTCAGAGTCTTTCAAACCATTAATTAACGCAGGGATGATTTTATTAATTTGAGTGGAGAAGAAATCTGGAGCACCACTAGAAGCGACACCGAGACATAATAAACCGGCTCTTCTTTCAAATGCATTTGAGGAGGTTAACATATTGTTTAAGTTATCGAACAAAGGATTAATAACTTGAGATGGTGGCAATTCAGCAGATAACATGGCAATAAGTCTTAAACCTAATGTTGGAGGAGCATTTTCTTCGTTTTCGTTTTCTTCGTTTTCGTTTTCTAATTCCTCTTCGACATCAATTTCTTCGGATGCAATCTTAGCTGCAATTAAAGTGATTTGTGGTCCTAACTTGTTGGAAGTAATCTTAGATTTCCTTAAAGAAACACATGAGATTAAAAATTGCAAGCCAAAAGTTCTATATTCTTCATCTAATTGAGTATTAGCAGCAATTTCAGAAATAAATTGAATCAAGTTAACTAAATGATCACCAATCAACTTTGAGTCGAGGAAAATCAAACTGTGGAAAACGTTGAAAACCTCCTTGGCCTTTTCATTATCATCGTTGCTTACAACTTCCTTCAATACTTCAACCATTCCTGGGATAGTGTCTCTAAATTTTGAGGCTAATTGGTTATTGATCTCTGCGTCTTCTTCAATGAATTGCGAAACGACATCCAATGATAAAACAGCGTTAACTCTAATATCTCTGGAAGTTTGGTCACGTAATAAATTTCCAAAAAGAGACAAGAAGTCGTCAACGTGTGGAACTAATGCTGGAATTTGAGTTTCCAACAAAGTATACAAAGTGTAAACAGCCATTTCCTTTGTTTGTGGGTTGGTATCTTGAATCGACTTGACTAAGACAGGTAACAATTCTGGCCATTCGTTGTTTTCTAAATCAACTTCACCAATAGATGCAACAACTCTAGCTGAAGAATGTCTAATAAGTTTAGAGCTCTGAGTGAAAGTGTTATTCAACATAGATTCCCTAATTTGTGGTTTCAATGAAGCATCGACTCCTTCCCATTTAGCTAAAACTAACTTTCTAGCTTCAACCGCTGCTAATTGCTTTAATTGGTCATCTTGAGCATTTTGCAAAATATGAACTAATGATGGTAAAGCGAGTGGACTGGTGTAAAAGTCCTTGGTCAATTTTGATGATGCCTGTTTAATAACAGCGGAATCTGGAACCAATGTTTGTTTTAAAGTTTCCTCCAAAGAGGAAATATATTGAGCATCCATGTTGGAGATCTATAATAATCACAAGATTCTTGAATAAACAGCAGAAATTTTACTCTGAATATCGGATCTTCCCTTTAAAAAGATGAACCAAAAAAAAATTCTGAGATGACGATCACGTGAACTAAATGGACTCTTTATATTGGCTTCTTGACTTAACCATGTTGTACTTGGTAATGTACAATAGCTCTAGTATAGAGTGTCAATTATGTGAGTTTATAGTTACAGAGATTATTTCGAATCGAACGCAGTAATTTTTTAGTAAATGATTATATTTCGATATTATACAAATTATTAATACTCTATCCATACACGAGACGTTTACATGATGTCATTAACATTGACAGGCATTTCCTTGATTTTGATACGGTAGAAACGTTCAATATCACGTAACTCATCCACGTCTTCCTTCGTGACCAAATTAATTGCAACACCTTTTCTACCGAATCTACCAGACCTACCAATTCTATGGACATAATTCTCTTTATCGGTGGGTAAATCATAGTTGATGACAAGTGAGACCTGTTGCACGTCTATTCCTCTAGCCCATACATCAGTAGAAATTAATACACGGGAGTTTCCTGTTCTGAAATCGTTCATGATAGAATCTCTTTCGTCCTGTTTCATATCACCATGCATTGCGACAACAGTGAAGTTTGCTTTCTTCATTTGATCGGTAAGCCAATTGACTTTTACCTTGGTGTTACAGAAAATGACCGCTTGGGTGATTGTTAGAGAGTCGTAAAGGTCACAAAGGGTGTCGAACTTCCAGTCTTCTTTCTCACATTGAATATGATATTGCTTGATTCCTTCTAAGGTAATGTCGTCCCTCTTCACAAGAATCTTAACAGGGTCTGTGGTGAACTTCCCGGTGACTTCGATAACTTCTCTCGATAAAGTAGCACTAACAACAACTACTTGGACACCAGGTGGTAGGTATCTGTAAATTTCATAAATTTGTTCCTTGAACCCCTTAGTCATCAACTCATCTGCCTCGTCTAAAATCATCATTTTAATATTACGGGTAGCAAGGTTACGTCTCTTAATCATATCAACTACTCTTCCTGGGGTACCACTTACAATCTGTTGGCCCTGTTGCAATTTTTTAATGTCCTCCCCAACATGAGTCCCACCAATACATGCATGAGTGTGTATATTCATATAGTCACCTAGATGTTTTACCACACTTTGAATTTGCTGTGCCAATTCTCTAGTTGGCGACAAAATAAGTGCCTGACAATCCTTCGACTTCGTATCGATTACCTCCAACATACCAATAGAAAATGTTGCAGTCTTACCCGTTCCCGATTGTGCCTGGGCTATTGTATCTTTACCACTTATAATCTGCATAATAGCACGAGATTGAATAGCAGAGGGCGCTTCAAACCCGTATCCATATATACCTTTGAGTAAGTCAGTTTTTAGATTCATACTTTCAAAAGTAGCATGTACTTTGATGTTCTTGGTGGATTTAGCACTAAACTCTAATTCATTATCGATGTCTCTGTCAAACTCATCCATATTGCTCTATTATTGTTTAAGTTAATTAAATATTTTAGGAGATGAGCTTTTAGAAATATCGCGATGCCATATTTCACTTTTAGTTACTGAGGTGTAAACTTCAAGAATTACACCACACAGATGCCTGACAAAGGACCCATACTTATACTAATAGGGGGTGGTCATGCCGCTGGTAAAAAAACCACTTCCAATTTATTGAAAGAAGAGCTTCGTTTCTCTCTTCCAGATGTTGATCTTGATATAGAAATAGTTGATCTAGATGACTACAAAGAAGAGGATTCCAAGAGAGAATATTCCACTTCAAAATCAGCAGCTATCACCCTTCCAAATAATTCCGATATTAAATATCCACCTTTAAAGCCATCCCGGTTTAATTTTGACAAGTTAAGGGAGTATTTATTAAGTGCTATTCTGAAGTCAAAACAAAAGATTCTTATTGTTCATGGGTTATATGCTTTATACGATAAAGACGTACGTGATATATCACACATTAAAGTTTTTCTTACAAGCGATCCTGATACAAGGCTAATTCGTTGGATCAGACGAGATGTTTTAGATCCTAATAGAAATAAAACACTAGAATCGGTCATCAATGCTTATCTTCAAGGTGCTAGAGCAGAGATGAGTGATTTTATATTTCCAACTAAGGAATTTGCCGATGTGATTATGCCGAACGGAGCAGAGAAAAATGCAATCAGGTTAATAGTTGATGGTGTAATGTCTTTATTGCCTGAAGAAGACCAACCTCAGAATATGTTCTTACCTCGTACAAATAACCTTAGACCAACTGTCAGCTTTGATGGTGAAAAATTTGACGGACAAAAGGGTAAGTTCTACGAGTTAAGCTAATGCAAGTACATCCATTACAAGGATAACTTATATAATCTTATTATTATTTATGTAAAATACAAGTTTTAAATTAAAATTCCATTATCTTTAACAATGTCATGAATTGGATCATTTTCAATTGAATATTCAGTCAAATTCTTTATTTTTTCACTCGAAATTAATTCTCTTAACTTCTTATCGGAATTATACCAGTGCTCAATCAAATAACTCATTTCATTAGACTTCAAATTATTGGTAAATCCTGGGAATATTTCAAATGTGCTATGCTCAATTAACGACTTCATAATGTAGTATAACTTGTCATATCCAACCCCAGATTTCACGAAAATGTCAACAATTACACCCTTTGGTGGTGTTTGACTGACTGGATCTTCTTCGATGGCCTCCTGGATATATTTAGCTATTAATTTTATCAATTCATCTATTGGGAAAACTAAATCATTCGATGATAATTTAGGACCGATAATATCGAAAGCATTATTCAAGACAATATAGATTGGTTCCTGCTTCTTTCTATCTGTAATTAAAAATTCATGGAAAATTCTTTCAAAAAATAACTCCCATCTCTTCAATATATCATCCGTATTTTTGTAATCAGAAACTTTGAAAATTAAGAGACATAAATCATAATAACCTAATGGATCAGTATAGTTATTGAATAAGTCGCTAATATTCAAAATTTTATAATCTAACGAAGAGACAGCAACCTCTTTATTTTGTTTGCTAATTCTATCATCAGACCTGATTGCAGTTAGTATATCTAATTGGACATTTGCGACGTCAAACAATTCTTGAATTGTTGATGATAATTGAATCATCTTTTGTCTTAAGTTTGGAGGACATGCACAATTACAGAATCCGTTGGCTCTGGATAAATACTCAATTCGTTGATTTAATGTTAATTTAAATTCTGAAACCGACAACGAATATAATATACTTGCTGCTCCAAAGTAGTTCTCCCTCTTCGCATGGTACAACCACAATAAGTCACTCAATGCTAAATTATTCTCTGACTTTTCTTCCAAAAATGGTAAAATATATGGTGTATTGATCTCCAATAACCTTTCACTCACATCCTGGTTAATAAACCATTGGTAAAATTCATAGTGGAAATGTTTATCCTGTGCTGCGAAACATGTCTCATAGGCAGCGTCTCTTATTTCAATAAACTCGTTAATTGCTAACTGATGACCTGTTTCAGTTATTTTGATTGCTCTCAAATCAATTCTAGTCAAGATCTTGAAGATCAAATCATATAACTGGATCTTCTTCTTACTATTTTCAACAGACTTTGAATTCGTGTTACCATTGTCTATGAGAATATTTGCTTTTCCAGCTGTTGCTGGATTATTCAAACTGGCGTTATTGACTAGCTTGTAAGCAAGTTTCAACAAAAGTTCAATTGCACCGGTATAGAATTCTAAATCTAACATAATATTAATAGAATTCTCAATATTCTCTAATGTCAACGACTCATATGCTTCTTCAAATAACACAACAGCGTTCTTCAAACATTTAATTCTCAAGTCATAATCTCTTGTTCCTATATTCTTAGCTCGAGTTAAATTTTCAATTGCTTTGAAAATAAATACATCATCAGTGGAACAGAAAGATCCACAACGATCTTGCAATGATGACGCAATTAAATCTATAGATCCTCCTTTCAAGATATTTTTATTGATGATAGATGATAATAAATCTTTAATCAAATTTTTAACATCGCGAGTTGGCAACAATAAATCCTTAAATGATAAAGTCAACAAGTTCAATTGGTTTGTCACAGAGAAAAATTTTAAAATATCATTAAAGGTGGTCTGGTTAATTTGAGACTCTTCGATTAATACCATCAAGAATGATAAAGCTTCTTTCATAGAGCTCAAAGATTTCAAAATTGAGGTAAATGCAATGTGTTCAGCACGTAAGCATACTTCATTCTCAAACTTGCTTGGGTCGGAGCTGTAGTTAGGGGCATTTAAACCCTGAATATTATTTCCATTTTCAACAAAGAATTCAATCAAGACTATCATTGAACCAATAAAGAATTCAACTTGGTTTTTATCGATATTCAAACCTTGGATTAATAAATTATCATCCTTCACAGAAGACAACTCAATTTGGCCATTAGCCGTTCGTTTAATATATGGTAGCATTGTGAAGACTTTACGGTTCCAATAATCTCTAAATAACCTAGAAATCAATAAACAGGTACCATAAAACCTATCACTCAAAATAACTTGCTCAACTGTTGGGTGTGAAACTAATGCTTTCTCTGCTTGTTGTTGTTGTTGTAATTGAGAACTCAACACGCCTGTTGACTGGGGAAGTGGTGAAGTATTCGAAGGGTGTAAACTATCTTGATTATTCAATAATCTTGCGTTGTTACCACATGTAGAAAATAACATTTGAGCCTTTCTCTTAAACAAATTGTTGGCATTGTGATGGCCATACGAGCAAGACAAATATAACAAACTTGAGCAAGTTTCTTCATAACCATTTTCTTCTATAAAATTCTCAATTGTTTCATCATTCAACGATTTTAAAATTTGGTCCGATGTCTTTAACTGATAAATTATTATTCCAAAATTGGTCAAAATTGCAAACTTCAAAGGTTCTCTAGTGTACTGACTTGCAAGAATATTCGCATATCCATTTGGAGTGTCCGTAGCATTCATAGAAGGGGTTAATTGAATAATATCATGGATATATGTGAACGAAGTATCATCATCAGAGCCAAATCTTATAAACTCCGCATCTTCAACTAATTTATTGTTTTTCTTTAAAAACCCATAATTTGCTGTGCAAATGAAAAGTTTGTCTGATCTTTTAGTTCTCTTGACGCACATAAATATTCCAGGACTTATGATCTTACTAAACTTAGTGTTTTTTAATAATTGTGACTTTTGTTGATTCGCAATCAATTGAGACAAATATTGTTTACTTCTTGTAAACGCATCCAATTCTGAATTCAATTTAGGTAATTCTCTTGATGGAGGAAATTTCATAGTTGCCACTGAGAGTTTTAATCTTGATGACGAAAGGGCACCAGACATAAATGACGATATAGACGAATTGATTCCCAACTTCAATAATATACGGTATCCATAATTTGTAATTGCTATTAACTGAATGTTTGAAGATTTCTGTTTGAATATAGGCTGAATATTCATAATCCTGAACTTCAGAAATGCTTTAAAATTTGTAGAATCAACAAACAATGCAGAAACGCTTTTGAAAATCTCTGATGGAGTTAACTGGTTATGCTGAGTGAACTGTTCTTGATTTTTCTGTAACTTGTAGACTCTGATGACAGACTTATTTGACAATGAATACAAAATCTCTCTATCGGCATCAATCTCTAATTGAGTTATAGTTTCTGGAATATTAGCAGCAGTACTAGTTTTATCAGTGTTATTAGCTGTCTTATTCAAGCCATCATTAGAGTTGAACAAATCAAATCCCGGAAATTTATTCAATGGTAATACGCTTGAGAATCCACTCTTCGTTAAGCATACTTTATCACATTTGTTCTTGATAAATGAACTCTTGTTTGAGTAGTCTAGTCTCCAAATGTTAATACCATCCCCTTCTCCTGTAAAATATATGTCATTAGTCACTTCATTAACCGTGAAATTATTGACTATCAAACCTTGAGTAGACACTGATAAATCAGGGTTAAAAATTTCGAGGTTATTTAACGCCTTATTGTACTTAACAATATAAATATGTATGTCCATTGGAGTTGCAATCAATAAAAGGTAGTTAACATCACTAACAAACACATTAGGTTTAGGTTTAACTAGTTTTACTTGTAAGATTGAATGTCTAATTTGATCAATAGTCAAAAACTGGCTGGATTTATTAAAAGAAGATTGAGGAACCTTATAATTCCATAATACTAACTTATTGTCCACGGCAATCCACGATCTTTCAATTTCTGGAAATAATCCCATTTTAGTAATACATTCAGTCGAGTTATATTCATCGAAAAATTTATCTGGTAAATTAAGCTGATTGAGCTTCTCGAATCTAGAAAATTCACCAAGACCTGAATCATAGTCAAAGTAATAATTATCAAGCCCTGAACCAGTTCTGTTAATGTTTTCGTCCGAATACAAATCAGATGGTGTCATAGAATCAATTTTGATCAAGTCCGTGATATATTTGTAGCCCAATTTTAAAGGCGGCAAGTTTGCAAAGTTTGGTACGTGTATCTTGTAGTTAACTTCATTCACTGCATCGATACTTACAGGATGGAGAAACCTCTGTGATAAGACCCCTCTCGAAGACTGCGATGATGATGAATTTTGATCTTGTTGAAATTGCAATACATCTAGCGACGGATCATCTAATTTCAATGTAGGTGAAAGAAACTTTGAATCCTGGCTGGCTAATGCATTACCAGGCTTCGTGTTAGGTGGTATTGTCATATTATTCTAACCCAAACGACAAGAATCTACTGTTAGTTGTTGACTTAGTTGATGGTGGACTTTTTTTTCGTTGTTTATCAAGTGTTTGGTAGACGCACTATTTGGTACAGTTTTCAACTACTACTTGAAGAACCTACAATAATTCATAAAAGAGAATCAAAATCAAGAACAATAATGATGGTGTACTGTTACAGATGGTATCCACAATTATTCATCGAAAAAAAAATGGTTTTAGATAAAAATTGAAGTACATCTGTAGATTTAGACTTTGGAGTATTGATTTAACTAATTTTGCAATTGAATGTCCATTCTATCGGCTACATGGTAAATATAGATCATTCTGGAATTCTATCTATTGGAATATCTTTTTTTGTTAAGTTGAAGGTATTTTAGTTACAGGGTTTATAAATATTGCTTTCAAACAGAGCATCTTATACCAAAGTGTTTCTTGCAATAATAAGAGCAGCCTTTGAAAATACGGCAACTTTGGATTCTGAATAGGCAATACTACTTTTATGGCATCTGAATGAAAGCAGTATTGAAATTTATCTAAATGGCGTAGAAAGAGGTAATTTATTCACCCAGAATATTACATCTATTTTACGAGAATTGTGTAGAGAGCGGAACAAACGTGAAATTAGATAGGGGTCTTTTCAATAAATATGAAGTTATCTATTTTATTAACTAGTTTTGTTGCTGTAGGTACGGCATTCCCACTCGCTAATTGGAAATGGAGTGATTTCCAAACTTTGGAAGCAAACGAGCCCAGATTAATCAAGTTAGGGCCCGATGAATATCAATTGGTTACTGAATCTAAGAAATTAGAATACAAAAGATCGAATAGGAAGTTCATCGATGTTACCAACCAAATTCCCATCGAGGAAGCCATTAAAAATGGAATGATTGAACATTCTACCGCAGACCTTTGGACGAAGGTTTTGACGTTGGGCTCTACGCAATTGAAGCAGTTAAACAAGCCGGTTCCCGATTATAAGTACCCAGCTACATTTGAGCACACGAAAGAAATTAAAAAGATTTATGAAAGCATAGACACTGACTTAATGCACGAGAAGTTGTCAAAATTTACTTCATTCTTCACAAGATATTATAAATCGTCGACTGGATTCGAAAGTGCTAAGTGGTTGAAAAAGGAAATATTAAGCATTGTTGAACCAGTGAAGGGCAGCGGTGTAGATGTGAGGGAAGTAAAACATGATGGTTGGGATCAGTTTTCTATCATAGTCAGTATACCCGGAGAAAATAGTGAAAAAGTTGTGATTGGGTCGCATCAAGATTCGATCAATTTATTATTCCCCAGTTTGTTAAAAGCTCCTGGTGCTGATGACAACGGGTCAGGTACTATTACTTGCTTAGAGTCATTGAGGTTGATTGCAGGTGAATTGGCCAATGGCTTCAAGCCAAGAAATACACTTGAGTTTCATTTCTATTCTGCAGAAGAAGGTGGTTTACTTGGATCTATCGATGTTTTCCATAACTACTCCGAAAACAAAGAAGTAGTTATCGGAATGCTTCAACAGGATATGACTGGGTTCACGGCTAAGACAATTGATGCTGGAGTTGAACCCCATTTCGGTTTAATTACAGACTACACCTCGGTAGGACTTAATAATTTTATCAAGCTAGTCATTAGTGAATACTGCAGCATTCCATACCATGAAACTGCCTGTGGATATGCATGTTCCGATCACTCGTCTGCTATTGAAAATGGATACCCAGCAAGTTTCATTATCGAAAGTGAATTCAAATTAAGCAACAACTATATCCACTCTGTCATGGACACGATTGACAGACTTGATTGGGACCATATCAAGGAGCATGTCAAGTTAACCGTTGCATTTGCTTATGAATTGAGTATGGCTGACGTCCAAGTTTAAGATGCCTATTGGTATGGAGTGATGAGCAGTTTCACCCCGGTTATATGCTTCTCTACGCTGTTTTTTTATCGAACAATACATATATTATTATCTATATATCTACTCTTCAGACTCTTCTTCGGTCTTCTTGGCAAATCTAACAACATCGTAACTGATTTGCTTTAATGAAGTAACAGTATGTCTGTGTTCACCATTTTCATCACTGACTTGTCTCTGTCTGACATCGCATTCGACATATAATTGCATTCCTGGCTTCAAATAGTTGTTAAAAAAATTAATGTGACGCTCGTTAAACACAGAAATGTTATACCAGTCCGTGCTCTTGCCGTCACTTTCATTAGGGTTGAATCTGTTGACTGCTAACGAGTAGTTGATAAATTGCAATCCGTCTTTGGTTTCTCTGCTCGAAACACTTCCAACCGTTCCTAAAAGGTTCATTTTCGCAAATGCGCTTCTCGAAGCCGACGAGGAAAAACTACGAGCTTGGCTCTGAATCATTGATCTCAACATGTTGATATTATAAGGTATTCTGGGTATTATTATAACTATTTAATGCTCTCTTTAGTCTGTTATTTGTTTAGAGTAGTTAAATTAACCAGCGCGTTCATAATAATCACGTGAAATATCAATTTATGTCTACTGATAAATCCAAAAACAACAGTATTATCTAAATATATAAGAAGATAGAAGTAAAGAGCCTGTATTCAATACTAACCAAGATGTAGTCGTGATATACCATTAAAACCATTCCAAATGTCAGCCAAATTCCCGAGTCATAGACATAATTATACGCACCAGAGTATTCAAATTGCCCCCAGCCATCCACTATAGTAGATTATTATACATATTTCAGATATTGCATACCTTCTACAGGTCACCAAAGAGAAGCGAAAGCAGCAGAAAGGACAAGTACGAGGAGAATGACGGAGGCGTCACAATTCGTTCCAGGAGCCACCACAAAGGATCAACGACGAGGCCGAAGTAGTGTCAGAAATAGGACGTCTTGTGTTGGAAACGTGCATCATATGGGAGTTCCTCAAGTGATTTTCGATTATCGAGTCCAAGAACGATTGTGTGTTGTTTTCCTTGAGCAAGGATGAGTATTTTTGAAGCTCTGTTTTCAAGGTTCCAAGTGATGGCTGCTCCACCGCATTTGCCGAGGAATGGGCAAGCTTATACAAGATATGGTTAATAATAAATGGTATGTAGGTAGGATTGTTCAGGGCTTCGAGCGACTGTTTCAAGTTCTTTTCCACGTTCCTGAAATTTATGTATTCTTGCTCAGATAATTTAGCGAATACGTCATCTCCGTAAAACGGCCTCTTGGTGCGTTCAGTTTCCGCAGGACCTGGTTGCAGGCTGAGGTCTTCATCTAAATCCCAAGATGCCGTATTATCGTCCACCATCTCGTCGAGGTTGTTATTTCGCCATTTATTAATGCGTCTGTGCAACTCCGACCCCGGGGTTTCAAATAAGCGACTTTGGCGACCTCTTGTGACCGCTGCTGGATGGCCACCACCCTCCACCTGGCCCTTAAACCCTCCTACATCACTTCCAGCAAGGTGATCTATCAACGAGTCACTCTCTGACTGCAGTCCCGCCCTACGTCGTTCCGTTGTCTCTGAATTAACACCCTGTTGCACCACATCCAGCCGAGTCCATTCTTCTGACGAAAAAGACCTATCTTGGGCCTCCAGTAACACTGAACTTGATCCTTCTACCGACTCTGCATCTGTGTCTGTACGTGTATTATTTGTGAGCGAGAGAATATCCGATTCATTTGCTATAGGAGTCTGCAAAGATGGACTAAACAAGACCCACAGCGATTGCGAATCTGATAAGATCGAACTACTCGCTTGTAGCGGACTGTTATCCAACGAAACCCGTCTAGGATATTCTACCTGATAATTGTGATTAAACGCCATCTTAGTATTGTCAATATAATAACTCCTCAGAAACTAGTATCCTTATCACTCTAGTATGCCCTTATCACTCTAGTATGCCCTTATCTCTTGCTTGTGGCTTGATCATCTTTAGACAGATGACTAAATACAATTAAGACGTGCAAGACACAAATCTACGGATATTACACAAAATCGAATGGTCTAGGGGGTAAGAGGATTACCCGCTTGTTAGGGGGGGTCTAGTTTAGTTTTACGCAAATTGCGACTTCCGATACAATTTGTCTAATGCTTACATAATGATATGTACTCTGCCCTCCACCGAAACATACGACAGCTTAGGAAAAATTGACAACATTTCACATCCGGTCGTTAGCGATCGGTCTCTAACCTGAGTGCAATGTGTGTCTGGTGGATGACATCGCCAGAAATTCTAGTGAGATTAACCGGTCTACTCTTGTTAGTATTAGTTCAGTCTAAATCGACAGCTTAATTGTGAATCAGATAGGGGTGAAAGACTATTTGATGGTATTTTTATCTTCATATATATCAGTTGAACTATGCAATTAATATTTTCATCATCATTTCACTGCTGCATTGTCGGAATGTTAGAAATACATACTTGAATACAACATTGGCTAATAAGAAGAGCTTTTCCGTTATTCTGACAGAAAATTTTTTGTTCGCTATTTATGGTCCAGTGGAACAAGAAGACGTCGTGTGTGTACCACCCGTCAACGCCGGAAATCGCACTGGGTTTGTGGGCTGAATTTAACCGCTTATTGTCGGTTAGTTGTCGCTGATTGTCGCAGATATCACTGGGGGTTTGTCACTGGGGGGCTTAAGCAATTTGGTGACATTTTATGCACGTGACCGGACTGAACATCGGGTATGATCTGGACGTATATATATGAACCTAGTATGGAACAATTTTTCAGCTGTAAAACGATTACAACTCGAAAACTTCAAAACATATAAGATGGCTGTTAAAGGATTAGGAAAGGTAGATCAGCAATATGATGGTAAGTATTAGAAAGAGGCACAAATTGTTTTTACTATAGCAATTGTCAATTTAGGGCCCGCATTCAAGGGACATAAGCAGCCTTCGCTGCGATCGATATGAGTAGAAAGTCATACTAACAAGTATAGGATCCAAGTTACGTATTGGTATTCTTCATGCCAGATGGAACAAAAAAATTATCGATTCTTTGGTCGAAGGTGCCATCAAGAAATTACAGGAATTCAACGTGAAGCCAGAAAACATCGTGGTCGAGTCAGTACCAGGATCTTTCGAATTACCATACGGAACAAAGTTATTTTTTGATAAGCAAGAAAGATTGGGTGAGCCTTTGGATGCCGTTATTCCTATCGGTGTATTAATTAAGGGCTCCACCATGCACTTCGAGTACATCTGTGACTCTGTCACCCATCAATTGATGAAGTTGAACTTCGAATTGAACAGACCTGTCATCTTTGGTGTCTTGACTTGTTTGACTGATGAACAAGCTGAAGCTAGAGCCGGTTTAATCGAAGGAAAAATGCACAACCACGGTGAAGACTGGGGTGCGGCTGCTGTTGAAATGTGTACCAAGTTTGACTAGACCGACTTCTTGTCTGCACATCTAAGACTAAGCTTCTACATACATTGTTAATTAAGTCAATAAACGACTCGAAATACTACATTATGCTCTCCTCATCTCCGTAGGTGCTCTTCAACCCTCTCTGGTAGGGCTTATCTAGAATGTTCACCTCTTGGGGCCGCTTAGTCTTATCACGTGATTTCACCGCTGGTAAGATCGTCGAAAAGAAGACGTCGATTCTTCACTAATAACATTACTTAGTTAGAAAGTCATCTTAGCAATCAAACATGAGTGGATGTATGTATATTATTATAAGCATGATGTAGTATAACTTAGTTACTAACAATTATAAGTTCGCCTTCTTGATTTTGTTGAATTCTTCTTGCCAATCTTGCCAGAGATTGAATTACCGGTGGAAAATATTAGTATAGATGAAAAAATCGTCTACACAGTTGCAGGTGGTATTATTTTCCTTCTTTCACAATTGCCAATTTATGGATTGGTCAGTGATGCATACTTGAAGATTAATGATCCATTCTACTTTCAAAGAACTATCTTTGCCATGGAAAAGGGTACTTTATTGGAATTAGGATTATTACCTATCTTGACTTCAGCATTCATTTGGCAATTAAGTGCTGGTTTTAGATTCATCAATGTTAACTTAAACTTGAGATCTGACAGAGAATTATATCAAACTGGTCAAAAATTGACTAGTTTCATCTTTGCTATTATTTACGGTGCTGGATTCATCTTTTCCGGTTACTACAATAACGTTATTAAAGGTTACAACCCATTTAATGGTGATTCAGTACCAGTAACAACCTTAGTTTTAATTTTCTTACAAATTGTGACTATGTCATTTGTCACTACCTTGATGGTAGAAATTTTCGATAAGGGTTACTGTTTTGGTAGTGGTGTCTTATGTTTCATTGCCTTGCAAGTTGCTACTAATTTAATTAGAGATGTTGTTGGCTTGGAATTAGTTTCATTGCCAAATTCTAACAAGTTTGAAAGCTATGGTGCTGCAATGAACTTTATCAAGAATTTCAGAATTAACTTCAAATCATTAAACTATAATGTCTTGAATTCTTTCACTAGATCTCAATTGCCTAACTTAACACAATTTTACATTGTCTTAGTCACTGTTCTTGTTCTAATTGGTATCCAAAATTATAGAATCGAACTTCCAATTAGATCTACCAAAGTTAGAGGCATGAACAACGTCTACCCAATTAGATTATTCTACACTGGGGCTTTACCAATTTTGTTTGCCTTCACTGTTTTAACTAACTTCCAAGTATTCGGATTTTTCACGTCTTCATTGTTAAGCAACTACTCTAAATTCGCTGCTTCTATTATTGGTACTTGGTCATTAGATTCTAAGTCATTTAATTTGAATTTGACCTCTGGTATCTTATACTTCTTAACTCCATCTAAAACTTTAGCACAAGCCTTATTGTCTCCAATTAGATCTGTCACATACGGCTTATCTATTGTTGCATTGTCAACCTGGTTTGCTGACAGATGGAGTAGAATGTCTGGTTCTTCTCCAAAAGATATTTCCAAGCAATTTAAAGAACAAGGTATTTCAATTTCTGGTAAAAGAGATATTTCAATCACTAAGGAATTATCAAGAGTTATCCCAGTTGCTTCTGTTAGTGGTGCCTTTGTCTTAGCTGTGCTCGCCATCGCCGGTGAAGTGCTTGGTGGATTAGGTAAGGGTGTCGCTGCGATTATTGGTGTATGTGGTGCTTTTGGTATATTAGAAGAATTTATGATGGAATATCAACAAGCAGGTGGTAACTCACAATTGACAAATGTTTTCCGTAAATAGGCGAACAGTCTCCAATTAAAAATGTTCAGAGCATGTAATATAAATTACATATCTTTAATCATCCAATCAAGCTTTGAGAGGTCTTTACTAATTATTTCTATATATGAAATAGTTATAATTTAATATAATGATTCATTATTAGACTTGTAAATATTCTGTAATTGATTCCTTCCATATATATGCGTGCTTGAAGTGAGAAAAAAATATGAAAAATAAATTAAAAAAATAATGACTCCGACGAGGTTCGAACTCGTGCATCTTTACGATAGTAGAACTTGAGTCTACCGCCTTAACCACTCGGCCACAGAGCCATTTGATATTGTTGTTATAAAGATGGTTCATGAAGAGGACTAAACAGTATATCCTCCCCAGTCTGATTAGTCGAATTTCATTCTTGTAAGTACTATTTCATATTGTCAATTCTGCTTTTGATTTTAGGAATTCTAGGGGGTCTTTCATTAACCTTCGCTGGGGTGTGTGATTCTTCAGAACGACTATCCCGATTAATAGACGTATCTGATATGTATTGAAAGAGGCAATAGAATACTAAGTAAAGTAGATTGGCTGAAGGTAAAATACGTTGACGCTTCTAATGCTCAACATGTTATACCACATGGCGGTAATAGGATGGAAACGTTTGAGAGCCTAATAAACGCAATGCACAGCGAAAGTACAGACAGTGAACAATCTCCTCAAACGGAGCCAGGATAGAGGATGAATGGTGCAAATTCCGAAATACATTTATGAAGATGATATCCTATTTTGCTTACATGTGCTATGGGTTGTGTTTTCAAAAGCATATAAATAACCTGAAGTCTCACATAGTTTAATTCTTTAAATATATTATTTATTAAACGAAATGAAATCTATTTTATCTCTAAACAAACGTCTGGGAATTCTTCCTCTTCATCGTTACCTCTACCACCAGCGAAATTATCTCTACAGGCCCAGCCCTTAACAGGGAACCACCAATAAATTAAAGTCCACAAAAGATAAATAACAATGACAACCGAAACGTAATTCATAGTACCAGCCGTTACTGGCATGAATGAAGGAAATGAAAAAAATACTAAAGCAAAAAGAGTCCAACAACAGGTCACAATATTAGCAAATAATCCAAGTGGGCCCAACCAGAAAGGTCCATGCTTGATATTATTACGGCCCCTGTACAATAAGCATAAAGTAGGGACAATATAACTTAATAATAAGAAAGTAATACACCCCACAACCATCGAATTGAATGCTGCATCAGAAACCAAATATAAACATCCTAAGACTGCAACCCAGAAAGAAGAAAACAAATGGGCATTCAATGGAATACCTGCCTTTGGATCAACAATAGATAAATACTTTGAAAATGGTAAACCATTATCTCTACTGAAAGACCAACATAATCTTGCTTGCCATGTATGAGACGAAATAGTACATCCACAAGCAGTCAATAAAATCAAAGTACCCAAACAAATAGCACCTGCTCTATTACCTAAAGCTTGGTAGTAGATGTCATAGATTGGAACACCAGTGCTTGAGTTCAAAATATCTTCTAAATTATGAATGGAAAAAAACATGGCAATAGAATAACAGAAAGATGTACAAAATCCAATGGTAACAGTACCCATAATTGCAATAGGGATATCTCTTGCTGGATTGAACACTTCTTCTGCCAAATGAGTTGCAGAATCCAAACAACTGAACGACCAATTAGGATTGACCAATCCAACAATAAACGCAATACCTGAAGAAGACCAGCCAGTACCGTTTTCGAATTCAGTAAAAACAAAGCTAGCTGGTTGGTAGTTGCCCCTGGAACACACCAAAACTGTTATCGTGATCACGACAAATGAAAATAAAGATGTATATAATGCCGCATTTGCAATATATGGCAAGTATCTACCGTGGCAATTGAAAATAATCAAAAATATGTTAACTAGTTGATAAATAACGAACAACTGCCACTTCTTTATAATGTGGTCTGGGTGCATCATCACCCAAAATGCCATGATTTCGTTGGCAATACTCAAGGCCATCGAGGCACTTGTAAATAACGAACCAGCCCAAGCAAATGAACCGCACAAGTATGCTAAAATACTAGAGTACTTTTTTGGCGATAACACTCTTGTCCATACGTACTGTCCCCCAGCAGATGGAATGGCAGAAGACATTTCTGATAAAGTTATACCGATACAATAAGAGATAAATGCAATGATAATAATCCCGTACACAATCAACATCGGTCCTCCAGATTGAATCCCGGTGATCAATGAAGCAGAAATACCAAACCACGAGTTGGTCAACCCGAAACCTATACCCAAGATCGACCAAACTGAGAAAGTTCTCTTCAATTCACCCTGTTTGAGAGATCCAATCGACGAAGAATCGACGTTTTCCCATTTGTGTCCTGAGACAGCATTTGCTCCCAAGCCTATTTCCTTCTGACCTACACTGTCTATAGACGTAGCTTTTTCAGTGGAATCCATGGTGGTGCTACTGTTCTGAATGGATAGAAAAGAAAAAGTTTTTCTGTATCTTTATAGTTCTCGCTAACAACCTTTTTTTTACGGATTATTTTTTACGGATTATTCTTTTTTTTTTCGCGGTACCCGCACGAAGAACCTTAACCTAATCGTATGGGGTGCATGTGCATTATTGGATCAACCAGTCCAAACGCTAGAGATTGTATTCAAATATATACCCCGATGGCTCAGCAGTCGGTGTCTTCCGTCGAAAAAATCCTTATTTGCCGCAAAAATTTCCTTAATTTGGCGAGTATATTCGATCTCCAAGGAAAAACCGTCAAAAGGCATTCACGCGATAAGAAACTTAATTTTTTTGATTTATTGCGGACATAACCGGATACAAATCAAAAGGTTTAATACTAACGGTATGTTTCCTTAAGGATAATTGTTGATGGAAAGTCTTCTAGAAAGTTTTGTTTGTCTATGATCTTGTGAGAATATGGATATTCAGGTTCATATAAAGTGGGGCATCGTATAAGTACTGAGTGTGCAATACACTTGAACTGTTAAAATATGATATTTTCTCAGTTATGATTTTCACATGCTTCTGCTCTATTATATAATCTGAAAAAAGTAGTGGTAAGGGTATCGATGATGGTTTATATAGCGGAGATGGGATTTGTGAGACAAACGGAAGGCATATCTGCAATTTTTGTCTTGACCGAGACATCGTAGCACTAAGCGTATTTCAATCTCTGGTACATAAATGGCAAACGTAGACCAATGACTAGACAGATTTTGTGTATTTCGTAACTTTTGATTGATCAGTAGCACTATTCGCCGTTTTGATATAGGGATAGCTTCTAGTTAATGTGCAATTGACTATATATCATGTATAGAACCACAGGTATTCGAAGTGTTTTATGGGTGGTTTTTACGGTTCTTCGAGTCAACCATGCATCCTAGACCCGGTTTAGTTCATTATATATTTCTAATTTTACATACTCAAGTGCAACACACCTACCCACTCTCGCTTAATGCATGTGCGGCCTAATATTAGACATATCTGGCCAGAAATCGACGGCAACAACTTTCTGGAAACGATAATATACGTACTCAGGTAGCAATATGGTCTTCCGATAGTTAAAGATACACATCTGGGGCTACTGATGGTGGTACGGGGATGTTTGTCCAAGTCCGTCGTTTGGGTCTGTCGTGCGCATGTGATCAAATATTTGATGTGAAGTGATTTCTTCCCTTACCCTTTTTTCCAACGACTTGTAAAGTTCTTACAGCAATTATATTTGATACGGTAACTAGGATTAGAAATGCAGTACGTTGGAAAAGTCGGTGGTTACGTTTATAATCAATGGAATGCACTCAATCCGGCAACTTTGCTGGGTGCCATTGATATTATAGTAGTTGAACAGCCTGATGGTTCCTTACACTGCTCGCCATGGCATGTTAGGTTTGGAAAGTTCCAGATTATCAGGCCGCTGCAAAAAAAGATTGATTTGTATGTCAATGATATCAAAACAGATTTACCAATGAAGCTAGGTGAAGGGGGAGAAGCATTTTTCGTGTTCGAAACATCAGACCACAATTTGGTGTCTCAATCAGTATTGACTTCTCCGGTGATTTCACCTACAAGCTCAGCTGAAGGATCGCCATTAAGTTCTCCTAAGGATGAATCCCCGAGATCTTCTACTTTTGATTTAAACCATGGTGAACCTGAAGCTTTGAACTTGAATGAACATAGTAACGAGCCAAATGATGATGATATTGAAAATAAGATAAAACTCACCGATTCAAATTCTTCGATTACAAGGTCGCCTTCAAAGAGTCCTACTCCCAATTCAACTTTGCATCTGAAAATCACTTTTGAAAAGGCCAGAAAGATTACCCAACAATTGAATATCCCATCTAAAATTGACATGAATGGAGATATGGTATTGGATATGGATGGTTATAAACCTAACTCACAAAAGAATATTGATGTTTCTGATGAATATTTCAAGAAGATCTTTCTCAATGAATTAATGGATTTGACTAATAATAACAAAGATGGAAAGAATTCTGATCACGAATATAATTTCTTAGATCAAATCGTTAGTAAAGATGAAGATGGCAATATTCGAATTTTGAATAATAATATAACTGAAGATGAAATGAATCTTGTGAATGATCTTGCAAACCATGAAGGTTTAGCTGGAGTCACCAGTAATGAGGAAAATTCATTGGGTACTGCTACACCTAGTGTAGAGAATAGACAAGATAGTGATAAGACATATTTCAAGACTTTGAGATTAACATCTGAACAATTGCAAAAGATGAATTTGCACTACGGGGAGAACAAATTGAAATTTAAATTGAACCAGGCCAATTCACAAATCGAATCTAATTTATATTTATGGAAATCCTCCACGCCGATAGTCATATCGGATATAGATGGTACAATCACCAAATCTGATGCATTAGGACATGTCTTAAACTTAATTGGTAGAGATTGGACCCATCCAGGTGTAGCTAATTTATTTCAGGATATTAAATCCAATGGCTACAACATTATTTACTTGACTGCTAGATCGGTAGGCCAGGCTGACTCGACGAGACAATATTTAAAGGGAATAGTTCAAGAGGGTACAAAGCTCCCACATGGGCCGGTTATTTTAAGTCCTGATAGAACTATGGCTGCATTGAAAAGAGAAGTCATTTTGAAGAAACCAGAAGTTTTCAAAATGTCATGTTTAAATGATATTAAAAGTCTATACTTTAATGCTAAGGATTTATCCCATGATGACGATATGACTCCTTTCTACGCGGGATTTGGGAATAGAATCACTGATGCTATAAGTTATAGGTCAGTCAAGATTCCGTCACATAGAATCTTTACGATTAATCCCAATGGTGAAGTTCATATGGAATTATTGGAATTAGCCGGTTATAAATCCTCTTACATATATATTGGAGAGTTGGTTGACCATTTCTTCCCGCCAATAAAGGCAGTGAACACATTAAATGCATACTGGAATGCCAATCAATTCAACCAATACATCAACAACACCAAAGTCTATTCACCTCCTGGGTCTCCTGGGGCTAGAAGTGTTGATAACTTTGAAGAAGATTCAATGTTAGCCATCAAGACGGACGAAAAATACAACGATGTCAATTACTGGAGGGAACCACTTGCTAACTTGAGCGATTTGAGCGACCTGGACGTCGAGGGCAAAGACGAGCTTGTTGAGCAATCTAAGTCAAAATCCCCTAAGTCACCGGCTTTACTCTCGATTCGTGGGTCTGGTGAAATCACAGCGACGTCTAACGAAACTGAAAGACCAACCTCGGCTTCCTCGTTTACGTCCCCATTGAAAAACTTTATGTTTAACCACCTTGAAAACTCATCCAATCCTACTACCGCCCTGTCGTCCAACCTGGCTATAAGCCCCGATGACACTGCGATGACAAACGACAGTGATTACACCAACGACTACGACGATGATGACGATGATGATGACTACACGGATGATGGCTATGATGACGACGAGGACGACTATGAAGATGATTACGATGAAGATGAAGAAGGTGCGGATGATGATGTCGAAGATGTTGATGATTTGGATGAGGAAGAACTTGATGAAGAGGACCTAGACCATGACCTCAGCCATGGGTTTGATGCTATTAACTCCCCTTCGCCTGCCAGCCCAAAATTATCTCCGGTTCCTCCAGTTCTTGATCCATTAACTAAATCAAAATCTAGGAATGGATCTAATAATGAAGCTAATGAAGAATCTAATAGCCAATTCGTTAAAGCTAGTGATTTAATGAATAAGTTGTCTTTGTAAATACGATTTAATAATATGTCAAATATAGACGCGCAAAAAAACTAGCCTCGCCTCCACGTGTAGATAGAGATTAACAGATATTAGCATTAATTGAATTAATAGTTAGACAAAGTGTTCAATATATAGATAATTTAGAAGTAGAAGTCATAGAAACTTTACTTAGACAAAATGCTTAAGAACTTTAGCATGAAAAAGATAATTATCGGCATGCTCACCATAGGGGCTTTGAGCGTTATCATTTCTTTGCACCTACTAAGATACGACGGGCATGATTTGATGGAAATTGTCAAACCCAAATATAAACCACCAGAAGAAGAATTTCATGATTCATATGATAATGAGGAACAAGTAGAAAAGCCTAAAGAGCCTGAAAGACCAAAAGCATTGAAGGTATCAGAGATTCCTCACGATGAGCGGATGATTATATTTCCTAAACGATTTGAGGCCGCAGACTTGCAGGAATATTATACTAAGCATTTTGAAAATTTGGATGATATCAAGGGGAAGAAACACATATTTCAGTACCTGTACGATGGAAATGCAGATGGTGAAACTAATAAATCTGAAGAATTGAGCACCCAGGTTGCGGAAGAGACTGCATTCCATAAGCACGCATTCAAGGTTTTCAACCCATACCCTAATATCAAAGGAGACAACAGAGGATGTTCAGCCATCGAAAATTCTCTCAATTTAGAAGTTAGCGAGTCGAAGTCGATGCAGATATCGTTGGAGAAAGTGGTTGGCAATTTTGTTAAGCAGAAAAACGAGTACTACCGGGAGTTATCACCATTTTTCCAAAAAGACATAGAGACTCAGCTTGAAGAACACACTATAGAGAACTATTGGTACAGATTGGCAGGATCTTCGGTGTGGTTGGAACAATATGGAGTGCATTTTATGGTTTCAAGAGTGTTGTATAGTCCCAGAGGAATTCGAAACCAGCCAATTCTTAGTTTGAGCTACGTACAAATCTTCAATGAAAAATGGGAGGAATTGGAAAATGTTGAATTGATTGTACCTACGAATAACCCTGATGTTGGTAATCAATTACCAGCAGAAAAGCAATTATGGGCTAGTATCAGGTATCCTGATTTCTTGCCAATTCCAATATTTCACAATGTTAATAAGCAAGATAACAGGTTTTATGGTCCTGAGGATCCTAGAACCATTCTTGTTAAGAACCCAAAAGGTTTTGAAGAGCCATTGGTTGTCTTCAATGAGTTTCATAGAAAAAGTATTAAGAGAACATGGGATGAGGGTCAGAGCGAACTTACTTTAAGCATTAAGCATTATAGATCAATGTTTATGGGGTGGCCATGGCAATTCCAAAGGGGCAAGGTGAATGTTGACGGCTTACCAAGCAGAAAGTTTGACGATAACCTATATACTAGAGTTGTTGAATTGAAGAGACATAATATTCCAAGAAAGAAGATTCAAAAGAACTGGAGTCCGTTTATCAGCTCTCATGACCGCCAAATATATCAGCATGATAAGTATATATACTTCGTATATATGTGGTCAAACTTGGAGATCTTGAAATGTGATTTAGCGGACGTTTCAGGTATGACTTCACGTTGTGAATTTGACTATAGACTAAACAAGAATTTGCCCGATGACGAGCCAGTTGGACAGTTGAGAGGAGGTACTCAGCTAATCAGTATTAACGAGTTGATCAGCAGTGAAAGACACAAATTTCCTCAGCTTGATTCAGCTCTAAGCAATATTCCAAAGACTAGAGACATATGGATCGGGTTTGCCAGGGCCCATTTGAAGAACTGTGGGTGTGGACAAGACATATACAGGCCAAACATGGTTATAATTACGAAAGATGATAACAAGTACAAAATCAGTCATATCACTTCTTTCGTATCGATGGACATACCGGTCATAGGATGGGACTTAAACAAACCTAACGATGTGTGTATCGGGGGCCAACCCAATGTGTTCATTCCCAACGGTATTTCTTCGTGGTCGTTCAAAAAAGACGACAACAACCAACATCTCGGTGCAGTGGATTATTTAACCATGTCATTTTCGCTTGCTGACTATACAGTAGGAATAATCCACTTAAGAGGCCTACTTAACGATTTATTCAAACTAGACAAAAAGCCATCGTACTCAAATCACAAACTCTTTGAATCCCTGCATCTCCATTCAGTGGGCTACAATAATGATAATGTAAACTGTGCTCTACAACTGTCTATTCAATTCTGTAAAGAGTACGGTAAAAAGGAACTGGAAAAAGCTGACAATGCTGCAGACTCTAAAACAAACTCAAACTGATTTTACATTTTATAGAAATTTTTTCAATTTATATATTTGTTTGTTTATTTATATCTTATAGTATTAATTTGTATAGAGATATACATACGAGTCTATCTTGTGTTTAACACTGGAATTTCAATTGTGATAATTTTGCAATTGTTAGCGTTCTAACGAAAATCAAAAATCCGCGGGCTGTGCTCCTCAAAGGAAAATTTAGTTTAAGTATCGTATGGTAACTTACCAAATTTGTGATTCAAATATCAACGATATTAATTTCTTAAATCAGTAGGTAAATCTGAAGAACGTCATATTGGTCCAATATAAGTAATTCATGATGCCCCTTAAAAGGTATACTAAGTCATATATCATAGTGATTGCAATTGTATTCAGTGTGGTATTGTTATATCAAATTGGGCAATATAATCAAAATGATTTAATGGGTTCATTCAAGTACGCATATAACCAAGGGTCAAGTGTGGTCAAGAAAGATACAACAAACCAAGTGATATTTCCTAGGGATTTTCCTCTTGAAAAAGAGGAGTTAAAGGGATATGTGAAACAGAACTTTAACTTGACAGACTTGGGCAAGAGCAAGTTGTTTAAAAACGAAGATGGTATGGCTGCTTTGCCGACTTCAAAGTTTACGAAGCATAATTTGACGATTTTCAATAGTGATGCAAATATTAATCTTAATTTGAAGAAATGTGATTCCAAATTAAAGTCGACATCAGTGGTGGAAATAGACAAGGCTAAAAATATCGGAGTCTCGTTACCGGAAATCTTGACTAACTTCCTTGAGGAGTGTGAGACAAATCCATATTACAAGGAGTTAGCACCATTTTTCATTGACGAACTCAAGTTACAGTTGAAGCACAATGTGGTAGAAAAATACTGGTACAGACTTGCGGGATCTTCCGTGTGGTTGGAACAATACGGTGTTCATTTTATGATTTCAAGAATTCTTTACAGTCCTAAGGGTGCCAGAAACCAGCCTATTATATCTTTAACTTATGCGCAGATCTTTTCGAAGGATTGGAAGGAGCTCACCAATACAAAGTTGGTGGTTCCCACAAACTACATTGATGGAATGGAAGACACAGAAATGATTGATGACCAGAGATTCGAAGCATTAAAGTTTCCATATTTCTTACCTATTCCTTTTTGGCATGATTGCGATAATGTTGAACACAAATACTACGGGCCTGAAGACCCAAGAATTTTACTCGTTAAGAATACTAGAGGGTACCTAGAACCCTTGATTATATTTAACGCTTACCATCGCAAATTATCACGTTATGATGATGACGAAGACGATGGCTTAGTTTTAAAACAAGACTTCTATAGGTCCATGTTCATGAGTTGGCCATGGCAATTCCAAATGGGTAAATCGAATACAGATGGTATGGGCAATAAAGAATTTGATAGTAAGCTTTATAACAAAGTAATTGAGTTAAAGATTAAAAACATACCAAGGCAAAAGAAACAAAAAAATTGGACTCCATTTATTAGTGATAACTTGAGAACTATACATGGCTATGATAAATTTGTGAATTTTGTTTACAGGTGGGCTAATTTTGAAGTATTGAAATGTGATTTAATCAATGATTCAGGAAGCTGTTCATTCACCTATAGATTAAACCATAAGATATCTACTGAGTCACAAGTAGGGCCACTAAGAGGTGGTACTGAATTGAAGAATATAAATGACTTAATTAGATCTCAAACAGACCTACCACTTGAAACATTATTGCCGCCGCACAGAGAAATTTGGGTTGGATTTGCTAGAGCTCATTTAGATAAGTGTGGATGTGGTAATAATATGTATAGACCAAACATGGTGGTTCTTGTTAAGGATTCAGTTTTGAGTAAAAAGAATGTTAATGATCCTAAATCTCCTAAAGTGTTCAAAGACTTTTATAAGATTAGTCATATTAGTTCATCAATATCCTTTGATATTCCCATAATTGGTTGGGACTTAGAAAATCCAAAGGACGTCTGCATAGGATCGAATATTTTGATTCCAAATGGTATTTCTTCCTGGAATATTAAGTCTATTAAAGAAAATACTAAGACTGGTTTTTTCGACGCTGATGATTACATGACATTGTCTTTATCTATTTCTGATTTCACGGTTCACACCATAAATATTAAGGGATTATTGAATCAAATTCTAAACTTGGATGATAAGTCTTTGTTTTTGCCCGTCGATGATACCTCGGAAGATGGATCTTTTACATCAAATATTAAAAACTTGCATATACCGGATATCAATATAGTTGATAATCCACGTAAGAATAATTTGATATGGCTTACAGGATATAATAACGATAACGTTGTTTGTGCATTAGACAGTTCTACCAAATTCTGCGCTGCTTATGGTATGGCAAATGAAAAGTCTTTCCAAGATGATAACGAAGATTATGATTATGATCTCAATGACGATTTCGTTGATCCTAACGTATCCAAGTACGAACAGGATCTCTATTTATACAAGCTTAATGAAGAATTAAAAAAGAGGCCGAACAGAATGAATAAAAGACCACCACCTAGGCAACTGTCTCCTGAAAGGAACTCTGGTAGACAAGATATACCATCCTCAGACAACAAAGATAAATTCAAACCAAGTATTTCGAATCCTAATGACCCTGCAAAGTCCTCCAATTCGGACTAATCATGAAAGTAAAATAAAATTATCAATGAATTACTTATAACACTCGCTTGCATTATTTACTTCTCGTATGTACAACTTATATTTATTACAGTTAAATAGAATAAAATGTTTTAAATTAATCATCTATAAAGTGTAGACTCTAGCGTACTGCATAATAATAATTGGTGAATTCAAAAAAAAGTTAAAAAAGAAAATTCTCCGATACCGGGAATCGAACCCGGATCATGGCATGGAGAGTGCCATGTGATAGCCATTACACTATATCGGACTTTCTTGTGTTAGACATTAAATTGTTCAGTAATGAGTTATAATTAAAATATGGTTCAAGTACTTATCAAGTCAACTGTGTACATATTAATTATTATACGTCTATACATATCAATGTAATTGTGTACACTAGAGATTCCTTTCTGTTAACGCCTATTCTAATATTACTAGAAGAAATTAGCAATAATTTAGCTTCTTTGAAAATAGTTTCAAACTCATCCAATATGTACAGAGTTTAGAAATTTTGAAACAATCCAAGACTAATATTATATTTTAACCCTGTTGTATTTCTAATGGTTTTAATTGTACCATTTCTTTTTTTATTAATTTAATATATATAAATTTGAGTTTGTACAAATTGGATATAATTTTATTTTCGAACCACAATTATAAGGAAATATTATAAACTTGTTGATTTTGCACCCATCTTAACATTAACGTTTTTTTTTAATTTAAATTCAATTACTTTTCTACTTCCCATTATTGACAATTAAATTGCTAATCTAGAATGCCAATTGAACTTATACTTTCTCCTATATTGAGACCAGTTGTTTTAGCTAAATCCGTTTTATTCAGTCCTCACAGACGAGCATCTCGGTACATTCCTACAATTATTGATTTACCGGAAGAAAATATTTCCCAATACGCTGTATTAAAAAGATTTGGGTCTGGTTCCAAGATATTTGATGTATATGATACTGATAATGGTAAGGAGCCACTTGGTCCGACTGATCCATCGAAAAAGCTTTTCTGGTTTGTTAGATCAAGGGCTGTTAAGGGGGCATATAGAATGTATTCTTCTGCTATAACTGGTACAGGGGAAAATGGCGAAGATGAACCTGTTGCTGCAATCAGAGCTGGTTTGAGATCAAACGTCTTGTTAATTAGAGCACCTGAAGCACCCGCTGCTGAATTAGGTTGGCATATTATTGGACATAAAGTCGATGCCATTGACAGTTATAGAATGTTTACTTTAGCAGATGGAGCAACATATCAGTGGACTAGTAAAGGCATGTGGCTAGAAAAAGTTCACAACCAAGGAGAAAAAGAATCTGAAGTAAGAGAAAGAATAGCTCAAGTTATTCCAAATGGGGGCAATGGTTTCACTTTGAAAGTCAATGAAGCAAAAATTCCAAGAGAAATGGCCCTTGGTAGTGCATTATGCTCTCATATTGATCAATGGAATACAAATATTCTGGTTGGTGGTATTTACTATGCAAGACAACCAAACCAAGTTCGTTGGAAAAGAGATTAGCGGACTAATGGATGTTCTTGGTTCTGCTTTCTTTTTTTTAATAACTACAAGTATACTCCATAATATATACTTCTATAATAAGGGTATAGAATATATATCTATAGATTAAGTGTGTAGTTTTTTATTAGAATAAATATCCTTATCGAAAAATTATTTCTTAACTGTAGATGAGTTTCAGGAAAATATTTAATGGATATCTTGCCAATCGACTAAATATGCTGAAAGTTTATTCTGATACATTAATATACATCATTTAATATGTTGGCTAGTCCAAAGATTAACGTCGTGTTGACAATAGATTGCAATGGCTGAAAATGGCAGGTTGCGAAATTTAGTGTCAGATTTGAATCGCCAGAAATACGAGTCTTTGCTTGTCGACTAGTTATGCACCAAAGAACAAGAATTTACACTCTTGTATAAGAATCGAGTGATATCATGAAGTTTCTTGTTTGTTAGAAATCCACAAACTGAACATGAAATTGGGTGTAACAGGTTTTATTTATTTTTTGAAACTCTCGTTATTACTTCGAGGAATTTTTGCATCTTCTCTTGAAGATGACGAATGTACCGAAAGTGAAGATCCAGACTATACGGATGAAAATTCCATTATATTGAGAACTTCCAACGAGAGATACACACAAACTGCTACCAGCATTGTTTATGTATACTCGCCCCAAACTTCCTTTAACTCGCTGATGGGTCTGGGTCATCCAACTACCATACTAATTGCCTCAACCCTTATTGAGATCCTCACTATTACTCCAGCACTAGCTTATGCAAAGGAATCGTACATGCTTTCAGATAAGGAAACTACTGATGTACCAACGATTTCAAACAAACCTTTGTCACAAATTATTTCAAGGTGTTCTGGTTGTTCCACAATAGCGAATAATAGTCAAAACAACAATACAAAGACTAATGAGCCAATTTCAAAATCTGAAAATTCCTATCCCTCTGTCACTTCACATGGCAGCTCGACCACCGTATCATCAGCTGGCATTACTTCAATTAAATTTCACTCTACAAGTCCCTCAAGCCATACTAGTCCTACAAGCTCAAATTACAAATCTGTGACTTCCGAAGAGTCTTTATCAAGAACAAGGTTGACTTATTCATGTGATGCAAGCTTATGTCTTTCCACGGATTTCACTAATAGTACCACAAGAAACGTGAATGCCCTGTCATGGGCATCCCAGAAATCTACAAAATCCCCGAAAAATAAAACAGAAGCTACCAGTAAAGACAAAAACGACAAGACTTCCTATATTAAAGCTTCTATGACGTCCACTTTTGTTGCTACAACGTCATATCACTACTACGACTCTGCTGGCATTAAACAGTCGCTCGATGCCCCAATTTTTTTAGCATTGTTTCTACTTGACATCATTTCTTTTTGAAATACCTAACAATATCAAATGAAGTCTCGAATCCTTTATTCATTGACATCATATAGCCCTGAAAACCTAGTGTATTATCCATTTATGTTCCTTTTAATGTATAAATATTTGCAATAATTAGAAGAGGTCGTGTAAGCCACAGGAAGTTTTTTAATGTAAAAGACCATCTAGTAAAAATTAAAGGCAATATAAAATTTTTCTTTTCTTTCTATTAGATTTTTTAAAATATAAAGAATATATCAATAATGACTGAACCTAATAAGATTTTCGTTAGACCATTATCGTTCGAAGGTATGTTTGAGTTGTTTTTAAAAAAAACGAATTGATTCCCAGGAAGGCAAAAAATACTAACCCATTATATAGTTGAGCGTGAACAAGTTGAAGCACATTTTAGTGACATTGGCCCTCTTACCGATGTCCAATTAATGAGAGGTTTTGCTTTCGTTACTTTTGAAAACGAAGAAGATGCCAAGCGTGCTGTTGACACGTTAGATAACACTGATTTTGAAGGTCAACCATTACAAATCGAGTTCGCACGTGAAAAGAAGGAAGATACTAGAGGTCAATTTAGAGTTAAGGTTACCAATTTACCAGATGGTACAGCATGGCAAGATTTCAAAGACTTTGTTAGAGACAGAACCGAATTGGCTCCAACCTTTGCCAAAGTTTTCAGAAATTACGATACCGATGAAGTTATTGGTGCTTTAGAATTCGGTTCAGCCGATGAATTAGCTACCGCTATTCCATTATTAAACGAATCCGAATTCCAAGGTGCTGTTTTAGCAGCTGAAGAAGACACTTCTCCATTCGTTCCACCTCCACCAAGAAGAGGTGGTTTCAGAGGTGGCCGTGGTGACTTCAGAGGTGGTTTCAGAGGTGGCCGTGGTGACTTCAGAGGTGGTTTCAGAGGTGGCCGTG